AAATGAAAGTTTAGGTTCAATTTTATCTTTCTCATTTATTTTGATCTGTTATAAACCACTATGAGACTAACCTTTATTACATGATATTTATAACAGGTGACAAATGGCCAATTTAACAAAAAATATGCCTTCAAACTACTCAATACATCAATTCTTAACTAAATTACTAATTGGAAACTCAATCGATTGTCAGCATTCTCTTGCATGAAAAGGTTAATAATGGTCCATTTATAATATTTGTTTAATCACTAGCTGTATGACCAAGGGGATACACAACCTTATTATATTGACCTTTTTATGGATTTAGTTGAAATTTGAAACTTGTGATATTTGGTGATTTTAGGATCAAAACTTAAAATTATGATTTATTTGGACAAAAATAGAACTTGTCACTTCGAGTAGTAACAGGTAGTGTCTAAAATATAAATTTACAAGGTATATACATAAAAAAAAATTTTTTAAAAATAAATCTATCAAGCAATGATAGGTAAATAATATGTTTGTCCCTACTTTCTAAAAATTTGCCTTTGATCTTTCTGTATTATAAATTTCTCCTCAAGCTACTTGAGTAGAGTGAGAGTGTGATCAGATCATCATAAGCTAACATTAGAGGTTGCCTAGTGAATAGAGATAAACAGAGTGGCTATTGTTTTTCAAACTCAATAAAGTTCCTTGACTACATCTCGTCTCAAGGCTACCTCTATTGCCACTCGTTGAGATTTTAGCAGATAATTTCCCTCTCATTTCCAAAACCATAAATATCTTTTCTTCATCTTGAAATGTTTGTCACTGGATGGTCAGAAAAAAAACCAATCATTTTGGACATGTGTCAGAACTTCAAACCAAGCATTACTAGGTTTTTTTTTTTAACCAATATTCTGTATTTGTACACTACACTCATAAAACTTGTACAAATAGATAAGTTGTCAACAAAATATAGAATATGTGAAAGCAGTTTTAACAACAACACTTTAGGGATTGCTGCAGTAATTTCATGAGATCGACATCATATGTTTTGAAGATTTACCACGCGTTGGTTCACCATCGTTGGTAAAAAATATTGAATAAAACAATTCAGCTTTATGTTACAACTTTTGGGACCCAAAGCTATATAGAACTCAACTAAAAGTACAAGTAATAAATCATTTGCTATTTGTAGGGCTAGGATACCAAGAAAAATGTTATCAAAGTGTAGACAGAGTCATGTGCTTCAGATAAATCATACTTTGAACCAGGATTAATTTTTTTAATAGTTTGTCATTTAAGAGGATTAGCTACTGGTTTAGTTTAATATTTATTTTGACTGTGCATTTTGCAACAGAAGTAATTACCTGACAATTGTCTATTTAAATAGTTTTTGAGTGAATGGGACTTTCAGCTCAGATTCTCTGTTATTGTACTAACATTATGCAATGTAGATCAAGTGTTAAGTAGAAAAGAGACAAAAGCCACCTCCACCTTTGAATAAAGAATCTTATGTGATTTATAAAGCTTTACTTTATGTACATACCAATCTCACAAAAAGTACTCTTAATAAGTTCTTTCACTTTTGTCAGTACTAGTTATTTACCTTGTAAATATATAAGTTTGCTTCAGTCTGTCTTAATGTTAATGTTTTTAGATTTCAACATACTAGTACAGAGCAAGCTTTTAAGGTTTTGCTTAGGGGTTGGGGCCTTGTGGAGCTACATATATGGTCAATGCATATACTTTTTACAGTCCCGCTCTTTCTCATTTTCTTTACTTGTGACCCTTTACAAAGTGATTTTTACAGGTATATCCCTGTTATGGGCAATGGTCAAATTTTGCTAATACCCATCTGCTATATTTAAACCTGAGTACCATGTTTACTGTCCCCTGCATCAATAAATTAAAGACATGGAAGTAAAATGAAAAGGAATAACAACGATTAATTAGCATACATGTATTAATGACCTGCAGAGATCTGTACATAAGTCATAGCTTGACGCTATCTTTCTAACTGCAAATTTATTTTATATGAATTAGTTTATGTACAAATTAAAGAATAGAAATGTTTAAAATTGTGAATATTTTGATTGACTGGTATACAGGAAAGACTTTGCTTATTTTTATTTAAAAAAGGAGGTCAAAACATATTTTTGTCGAGCCTGCGACTTTTGTCGCAGAAAGCTCGACATAGGGATAGTGATCCGGCGGCGGCGTTAGCTAACTTCTGCGGCTACGGCGGCGGCGGCGTTAGCTAACTTCTTAAAAGCTTTATATTTTAGAAGGTGGAAGGTCTGGATGCTTCATACTTTGTATATGGATACCTCATGTTACAAAGTTTCCGTCAGTCACATGTCCAATGTCCTTGACCTCATTTTCATGGTTCAGTGACTACTTGAAAAAAAAGTTAAGATTTTTTGTAATGTTAGATTCTCTCTTATTATAAGTAATAGGATAACTATATTTGGTATGTGCGTACCTTGCAAGGTCCTCATGCCCGTCAGACAGTTTTCACTTGACCTCGACCTCATTTCATGGATCAGTGAACAAGGTTAAGTTTTGGTGGTCAAGTCCATATCTCAGGTACTATAAGCAATAGGTCTAGTATATTCTGTGTATGGAAGGACTGTAAGGTGTACATGTCCAACTGGCAGGTGTCATCTGACCTTGACCTCATTTTCATGGTTCAGTGGTTATAGTTAAGTTTTTGTGTTTTGGTCTGTTTTTCTTATACTGTATGCCATAGGTCTACTATATTTGGTGTATGGAATGATTGTAAGGTGTACATGTCTAGCGGGCAGGTGTCATCTGACCTTGACCTCAGTTTCAAGGTTCAGTGGTCAAAGTTAAGTTTTTGAGTTTTGGTCTTTTTTTCTAATACTATATGCAATAGTTCAACTATATTTGGTGTATGGAAATATTTTATGATCTATTTGGCAGTCACGCAGGTTTTATTTGACCTTGACCTCATTTTCAAGGTTCATTGCTCAGTGTTAAGTTTTTGTGTTTTGGTCTGTTTTTCTTAAACTATAAGCAATAGGTCAACTATATTTGTTGTATGGAAGAATTGTTAGCTGTACATGCCTGCCTAGCATGGTTCATCTGACCTTGACCTCATTTTCATGGTTCATTGGTCAATGTTAAGGTTACTTGGTTAATGTTAAGTTTATGTGACAGTTGTAATAAAGCTTTATATTTAGGACTATCAACATAATATCAATGATTAGTAAAGAAGGCGAGACATTTCAGCGTGTGCACTCTTGTTGTACAATTATCTTCTTAACTTTCAGAAATGGATTCTTAACTATCTTTAAATATTAAAATTGAAAATGATCCACCATTTTCTCCACTTTTATATGTGATAACTGTCAGCTTTAACTATCAAGATCGAAAAAGACATAAATAGGAAAAATAGACTAAAATCAACATTGAACGACTCTATTCGGCAGCGTATAGCAGCGGAATGTAACGAGTGCACTATTTGGGTTACTTCATAAGTATATCCGACAACAAACGGTCTGTTCGTATATTTCCGTGAACGCGAAAATGTCTGAAAAGTGTCAGTGATTTGATCGATCACATGCCGAGAATCAATTACCATTCCATATCTTGAACTAATTAACGAGTAATAGGAAGATAGCCGGTAACGCAGATGAAACCTTTGAACTGGCGTTGTTGTTATTCCTGACAATATAATACTTCCATGGCTAAAACAACCCAAACCCAACAGTCAAACCTATATATTAAAGTTACCCAGAGAAAACAGTCCTTAATACAGGCGACCATTGAGTTGAGGTTAAAAATGCATACATGTAGGTATTACTACTGGAAAACCTGGCAGTGTTTTGGCTTAATGGAGGTGGCCTTTTTAGTAGGCTTTACTGTATGCAACTATTTACTAATGAAAGACATATTTAAGGCCTTGGTGTATAATAGATATTTCTAAGTGACCATTAAATTTGAAGATTATCTTTTAAAATTCATTCTATTGTAATAATTTTCATGTGTAAGATTGGCATTTAGTCCTTCTCTTCGCTTATGTCAGATTTCAGCGAAGTCTAAAAGATTTATTTCATTTCCAGCGATTTAATGACTAAGTCTGGTATACTAAGATATTATATGATAATAAAATTCATCTAATTTTGTGTCAACTGTGAACATGCTACAGTTTTAATATATTAATATTTGGAGGCAGAATCTTTGTCTTTTTCATTTGTAATGTTTTAACATACTGTAAATTCAGAAATTATTGCAAGGTTTTTATTAATGCGAATAATGCGACTGGGTGTGTATCGCAATAATAAGAACTCGCATTCTGATAACTGAAACATTAGACCTGTATGCCGATTTTTTCGAAATCACAATAATTAAACTCACATTTTTGTCCATTCTTGAAAAATCGCAATACATGTAATAAATGCACGCAATAATTTCTGAATTTACAATACTGTGGATTCATTTATTTTGAATTTATTTTGTAGGAACCAATTTTTGTGGAATGAGGAAAACTTTAATATTAGCCTTTTCATGGATATTTGATTTCATGGTTTTGCAAAAGTCTGCATACAAATGTATAGAAAATTTTAATTGGCCGAACATTTAAATTCATGGTGCACCCGTGTTCCAACGAAATCCATGAATAAATTGGTATCAAACGAATAATTATAAACATGATAAATCCACGGTATTGAGAATGTTAATCATGCTCCTGTTGGCTATTTGAAAACACATCCAATTGCCAAATCGGTAGACAGATGGTTTGGCAAGTAGATAATGTCCCGTCAATGAATATCTTTTTAAATTTTGGTTGTTAAAAAATTATTATCACTAATTATTAGACCTTGAAAATGTTATGTTATTTGGGATATTTAGAGTAAAGGGCATCTCTTATTTATTATTATTCATTTCTTACGTACATCCTACACAAAAATTATGAATGAGATGTGTAGGATGTATGTATGACACGGTTTTATGCATGAATAATAATAATGAAATTTATAGGCATTTTTCTGTATTTTAAAAATCATTTTCAGGTTGGAAAAAAAGATTAAAGATGAGAGTCTTGATAGAAGAGAGAGAGAACTGGAGTAAGAAGCTTGAGTTTATTTTGGCAGCTATCGGCTATTCTGTTGGTTTAGGCAATGTCTGGAGATTTCCATACCTGTGTTTTGAAAGCGGTGGAGGTAAGTAATTCACTCTTTAACACCAAAGCATGGTGATTGGTTAAAAAATGTCCTAAACATGGATATTTAACTAATGATGAAACGTTTTAGTGCACAAACAATGAAATTACCCACTATTATTAAGATTCTTAAACATCATGAACAGGCGGCCTCATTGGCTGAGTGGTCTAAGTAGTCCAATTACTGTATCACTAGCCAGTCAACACTAAGGTTATGAGTTCGAATCCCTCAAGGGACAGGTGCACTCCACTAATCTTAATTGACTAGAATTGTCAGTTTTCCTACCGAAGGTCGTGGTTCTCTCCGGGCACTCCGGCTTCCTCCACCAATAAAAACTGACCGCCTCGAAATAGCACAATAGTGTTGAAAGTGGCGTTAAACACCAATCAATCAATCATCATGAACAGTAAATTGTCTATTGTTTATGATGCTATGTTGACCATAAGATGTCTTTGTTTGTTTGTTTTTCTTATGTAGTTGGGTGACTGGCATAGATATATATACCCAATCCAGCATCTTCATTTTTTCATACAGCAGTATTTTATTACAAATAGTGTTCCCATCTGCCTATCATACATGTAGGAGACAATTTTATTTGTTAATACCTGTTTCATTGAAAATGTTCATTTAGAAATTCCAGGTTATTACTAAAAAAAAGTTGGCTACTTGCTCTGAAGGATGGGGTACATACTGTTTTACCCATGTCTGTCTGTCTGTGTGTTTGTCTGTCCCATGAAATTTCTATTGAATTTTTCTCACTAGAAAATATCAGAGCTAACTGAAATTTGTTATCAAGCTTCATGTGAACAGAATGTACCTTGCAGTACTGCCAAGTTTTCATGAAGCAAATGCGTGAGATTTGGCCAAAATTGTAAAGATCAAAGAGAAAAAACAATAGATCAACGGTAAATGCCACCAAATAAGCATGAAAATGCGCGAGACATGGCAGCCTTGTCCTTGTGAAGCGTTTTCAGTTTTATCTCACATCAATATCTTCTTTACCGAATACATATTATTGTTGTTGAATCATACATCTACTTTAAAAAGTAAAAATAAAGTAATAATAACAAGAACTCCAACAGTTATGGTTATATTTACTTAATATATAAATATTTCATGTCAGACCTTTTAAAAATACATTGCACTGATTTATTAAAAGATAGGTACCGGTAGAACCTTCAGTCCTTGAATAATAAAAGATCTTGAAGTAGTCTATCCTATATTTTCCCATAGATCTTAATTTAGATTTAGATTTAAGTATTTTTGCCTTGGTCTATATATTTGAATGGGATACTATATAATTAAGTTTTAAAAGTTGGTTAAAAAAAAAAGTTTTAAAAATTGTTTTTACACAGGTAAACCAAATAATTATCAAAACCATTGAGTAGAGAAAGGCTATTATAAGCCTTATATTCTTAAAATAAATTTAATGTCTCTTTTAATTTATAACTATAGGACCTATTATCTATTGGATTGAAGTATGAAAATATATAAATAACACATAGCTGAGAGAGTGATAGAGCAGATTGTTACCCAGAGAAAATATTGTCAACTGAGGCGAAGCCAAGGTTGACAATGTCTTTTCAAGGGGTAACAATCTGCTCTATCACCCTTTCAGCTATGTGTTATTAGTCCGTCGAAGGGGACTTTATGTTTGCACTCTGTCCGTCTGTCTGTCCGTCCGTCTGTCCATCCGTCAGTCCGGCAAATCAGCTTTCCACACTTTTTTTCTTCGTTCTTTAAGATATTGATTTGATATTTGGTTTATAGTTTTATCATGACAAGTTATAGATCAAGTTCGAATTTTGTTCCGGTTTGATGATTTAGTCCAGAGTTATGGACCATAACTCTGGACCATATCTAATGTTAGAATACTATGTTAAACCATATTTCTGTACAAAGGGAGATAACTCATTTTTTAAAAGACATTCTTTGTTAAAATATTTGAAGAACTGTTTCGCAGGTTTGTTTGTTATTCAGTATAAACTAATTTTCTGAATGCTATATATATATAAAAAATTATGAAGAGAAATCCTTTAATTAGATAATAATCTATTTTTATTAATGTATATATTTCAATACATTACATCATGTTAATATTGGGAAAATATCCACATTTACAATATTAAATGCTTTTTTCCATACTCAGACGTTCCAAGCAATTCTCAAGTGTTCTTTATATTCAACATCTAAAGCTTAGGCAGATCTAAAACTTTACGAAATTTTTTATTTGTATTAGGGGGGGGGGGGGGGGGTATTTCTGTATTGTTGGCTTGCAAAATTTGGATAGTTAATTGTTACCTTTACATTCAAAATTATCTGAATCTCTTCAAGATTCTAAACTGATTTGTATGGTCTTTATTTTTAGGAGCATTTTTGATACCATTCTTCCTGATGTTGGTACTTTGTGGAGTACCATTATTGTATATGGAGTTATCAATCGGCCAGTACACTCGACAGGGGCCAGTTGGAGCCCTAGCAAAGATTTGTCCACTATTTAAAGGTAAATGTTTTAATTAATTATGAATATATTTATACCGAAGATTGATCAGAGGTTGTATTTCTTCAGGATAACCATTCAGCCAAAAAGCATGGACTGGCACACTGATTTTGTTTTAGTGATGTCCAAAAGTAAAGGTTAATTATCTATCCTTAAATTGAACATATTTGTGCAAAAGTACCCCCCCCCCCATATAAAGAATAAAATAAAATGTTTACAGCAAATGCATTTAAATTTATTTTTTTTTAAGTCTCAGTTTTGTCTTAATGTTTGCAATTTATAAGAACATATGCAACAAACAATAAGCACCAAATCCAATCAATATGTTGGACCTTAGATGCTCAGTTCAATAGTGTAAATGTACATTAAATCTTCAAGTTGAGAAGTTTGGAAATACATGTAATATTTTCTGGTAAATTTAGAGGAAATTCAATTAATTCATACCTTTTCCTATTGAAAAGCATTGTCAGCTGATTTGAGTCTATACCTCAGAATTCACAGTGAAAATCAGACACAGCTGGGAGCACTAACTGAATCATCAAATATGTATGAAAGATTAATTAAAAAACATGTTTTATTACAGAATAAGCTGTCATCAGAGAAAATTATAAACTTAGTTCATATGTACTTATTGTACTCTAGATTGATCTGATACCTTGACATCTTATTTAAGTCTTAGATTATTTTAGCTCTGTAATTAATGCCACTAACTTTCTATGAATTATTGATCTAGTTTGTTTGTTGTTAATATGATGGCCCCTTTGAACTACTTTCTTTTCTTATGTGATCAACAGTTCATGGAAGGTTCAAGATCATACATGTTTATCTTTTATCATAATTTATTAAGTTCTATGTTGAATTGAAATAAGTAAAATCAGTTTAAAATCTTCAAAATTACTTACTCTGATTTCCTGATTGATTTTGCTAGAATTGTCACCATGATAAAACTAGATCAAATGCTAGTGTCAATTTCACTTACATGGCCTTAAAGATTACAAACAATAAGCAATCAATTAAAAGAATAACGGTACTAATTTTTTACTGCACTAGATGGGCATTTTAACAATAAATGTTTTCAGTGATGCTAGAGGCCAAAATATTTAAAATTCCAAAAGTTGTTAAAAAAATGAAAAGCTTATAAACCAAAAAGGTCAGGAAAGTATAGCCAAAAATGAAAAGCTTATGAACCAAAAGGTCAGAAAAGTATAGCCAAAGCCAGGCATATCCCTTTTATACTTTTAAATTTGACACTTTTCACTAAGAAAAATATGAAACAATTCAAACAACAAAACTAACCACCTAATTTATAATAAAACAATTAACGAAAAACAAATATGACAGACATGAACCAAGGACTATGTCAAAATTGTTTTTCATCTAATATTCTATTGTTTTTGAATGATATAAAAATAAGAAGATGTGGTATGATTGCCAATGAGAGAACTCTCTACCTGAAATCAAAAGATGTAGAAGTTAACAATTATAGGTCACTGTATGGCCTTCAACAATGAGCAAAACCCATACTGTATATTTTAAAAGTATATATTTGCGTAAATGCCATTTTATAAACTCTTTTGAATGTGTTTTGAGGTATTATCTTACAATTTATTTAGTTAAGGACTTCCGGTCCAGGGAATAAGCTTTAAAATTTCACTCCAGGGGCCCAACTGACAAAATGTGAAAATGTTGTATTGACCATATGGGAATATTCTATTAAAAAGTTAGGGTCCCAGCCAAATTTCCAGTAGCATTGGCTGTTAATCTTATTCCCTGCAGTCTATACATATGCAAGCATAGTACATATCTGTAAAAGCATAAAGACAAATTATGACATATTTTGACCAAAAACAACAGAACGACCCCTCTTGTTGTTAATGTTGAAAAAATATGAAAGTGTTGGAGTTTTGTAACTATGTAAAAGTCTTTCCCTGACTGGAGATTATCAACAAGTTTCATGAATAAGTTATATTCACTAGACATGAACATTGTATATATTGTTCATTTCATATCATGAAATAATTAGACTTTCATTTTTTGTTAGAAAACCCAATCATGCCTATTAAGTTGTGTCAAGATTTATTTCATAAAGAAGGAACCAAAATACTTTCTTAAAAGAGCTAAATATAATGAATTTAATCTTATTATTATTTTAAATGTTTAAACTTATTCAAGCATAAAGGCTTAATTGTAATTACTCATGACTTGATGATTATTTAAAGGAAACTTAACAGGATTAGCATAAATAAGAGTTAATTCGTGTACAAGAGAACAAAAAACGTTTAGATAGTATCAAATTACATGTATGTCCTTTATTTTGACCCATAGAACATACATTAAAAACCTGACTAATTTATAAACAATGAGCTGTATTCATAATCTTCTTTGTTTAATCCTAGTATTTGTGCACTTGAGTGCAGTTTTAAAATGTTGCTATAATATTAAGGTCAAGTTACAGTAAGTGCCCGGCCATGTCACTGATTTTTATAAGATTTTGCATACATTTACTGTGGTAGATTAAACTTGAACTAAAACATAAAAAAAATATGTATTCATCTCTTATCTTCTAATTATTGTATTAATTCTTTCAAAATAAATGTACATTTGTATAGAAGGCATGTAAAATATCTGAACACTTTTTTAAGTATTAGGTTACAATTATAAATTCTTCAAATGGAACCATTTGAGTCTTTGATCAATTGTTTTGCTGTAGTAAAGTACTGTCTGAGCTACAGATCATTAGATTTGAAAAATTCACCAGTATTAAACATTCCACATCAAATTGGTCATACATTTATATTCTTTGTTTCAAACTACCTTGAGATACACTCATTGAATGAAGTTTGTCAAAATTTGAAAAAAAAACGTTCTTAAATCAAAAGGAAAGCTATAATTTGAAAGTTAAGTGCAAGCCGAATGATTTAAAGTCTCGTTAAAAAGTTGTTATGTAACAAGAATTCTCAAAAAATGTTAATGTTTAGTTGTATTAGGGAAGGTATGTAAAATTCCTTTTACAAAAGGCTTGTTCTGTTTTCTATCAAATTGTAATTAAAAAAATATCCTGTCGGACCATCTAACGACTGTCACTCATTTATAATGTACGAATAAACAGAGATTTAAGATAAACATCCAAATGAGAGAGCAACTTTTACAATTTCTATGGGGTGATTTTATACTCCAAATTATGTAAGACGGTAATTTTATCCTGAAATCATTTAAAAATGATTATTTGCAGATATTTAAGATTTTTGTTTGTTTGTTTATTCCTACCCTTTTAAAAAGTAAATGGATACTTGTACCTTTTAGGTACATGTACAACAGTTTCCCTCTTATTCTTACATCATTAATGTGTATCAAATATAGCTAGAATAAGAAATCGTCTGCCAGTCATGCTTGAAAGTAGAATGAGAAATGTCGGACCTTTTTGAATGTCTGCTGCTGGAATTCAAATTGACAATATTTTCATCAATGGTCTTTTTCAATAGAGAATGTGTAAAACATCAAATTAAGGAAAACTGTAGATAGGTTAATGTGCTTGTGTTTGAGGTACAATCATTTTACTGGAAGAAATAAATATTAAACTGAACAGAAAAGCGCAGTAGAAATAAACATGAAATCAAAAATATTTTGTACCAAATGTTATTGAGATACTCTAGATCCAGAAATTTTTGTGTTGTTTTTATTTTTGCAAGAACTGTGACTAGATAGGTTTAGCAATTTTGATAGCATTATTTATATGCTGTATTTCCTTAAATTGCAAACAAAAATTCGCATTTGTTACCATTGTTCAGCACTCTCAATGATAAATGCATGCAAAAATTTCTGAATTTACTGTATGTATGTCAAATGATTATTGGCAATTATAGATGTTGCTTGTCAACATTTTTTAATGCATTGCCTTGAAAAAAGGCAGAGGAGAAAGAAAAGTAAAAATGTGGGAAGCGATAATCCAAGATTCAATTCTTTTTCAGGAGCTGGTCTTGCAACTGTTGTAATATCCTTCCTGTTTACGACCTACTACAATGTAATTATCACATGGGCGTTTTATTACCTGTTCAACACATTCAGATCTGTGTTACCATGGAGTTACTGTGATCCAGAGTGGGCGTCGCCTAACTGCTGGGATGGATCTGGAAATTCGACCACAGTTTGGCGAAATGTTACTGTAGGCGGCATGACGGTCCTAAAGAATTTCACAGAAGTTATCCGACCCAATAACAGTGTATCAGTTACTGAAGACTTTTATGCGTAAGAATGTAGTTTATAATCGCATTTATCATGTTTATGAAACTTCTCCTTTACACATTGTATAACATTCTTTTCTTTCAGTTCTATGAAAATATAAGCATCGTGTTAGGTGTTATGAAAGGCAAAACATCTTTTAACTAAAAAAAGTTAATAGTAATGTTCATGTAGATTTTTCTTGGGCAATGAAATACTCTTGGTTTTTTCCCAGCATACCTTAATAAACCCCACCACATTATGTGCCTGTCCCAAGTCAAGAGACTAATTCAGTGGTTGTTGTTAGTTACTGTCTTCCATATTTGTTTTTTGCGATTATTGTTTTAGCATAAATCAGGCCATTGGTTTTCTCTTTTTATGCCCCACCTACGATAGTAGTAGGGGCATTATGTTTTCTGGTCTGTGCGTCTGTTCGTTAGTGCGTCCGTTCGTCCCTTTGTCCCTCCATCCGTATGTCCCGTTTTTGGTCAAGGTAGTTTTTTGATGAAGTTGAAGTTCAATCAACTTGAAACTTAGTACTCATGTTCCCTATGATATGATCTTTCTAATTTTAATGCCAAATTAGAGTTTTGACCCCAATTTCACGGTCCACTGAACATAAAAACTGATAGTGCGAGTGGGGCATCCGTGTACTATGGACACATTCTTGTTAATTTTTATCGCATTTTATCAAGGCAGATATAACCTATAGAGGTATACATCTACATAATTTGGACTCTGGTGGATAGACCTATCATTGAAAATGAAATAACATCTCCTTACTTTTATACTGCATATGATTATGTAAGCATCTAAACCTCCCTCAGATTTACTTGCTCCTGTAAATGTCAATTTCCTGTTTATAATATCTAGTAAAAATTGTTTTTTTTTGTTTGCATTGGACCATTTGAATGATATCCAATTGCTTGGTTAATTGATTGATTGATGTTTGTGTTACTCCGCCTTTTATATCACAAAAGACTATATGCATGTGATACATTTTTATGCCCCAGCCGTAGCGGAGGGGGTATTAAGTTTTACCCTTGTTCGTCCTTACGTCCGTCCATATGTATGTCCCAAAGTTGGTTTCAGTTCTCTAACTTTAGTTTGCCTCAACCAAATGTTATGAAACTTAATTATACACAATGCTTATTACCACAAAACACAGATCAAGTTTGAATTTTGGTGGTGTCACTTTAATAGTTCTAGAGTTATGCCCGTTTACAAATGGAAAAATTACTGAATTTTTCTTTTCTGTTCTCTAACTTAAGTTTGCCTCTTATACACAATACCGGTACTTATTACCACAAAACTCAGATCAAGTACAAATTTGGGTAGTGTCACTTTTATCGTTCTTCAGTTATGTCCCCTTATAACTTTATATGATATGCAAGCGGGAGCATCATCTGTGTCCCATGGACACATTCCCCATTTATTAGTCCCCTACCGACAAAGTGAAAGGGGACTTTAGGTTTGCACTCTGTCCGTCTGTCCATCCTTCAGTCCGGCAACTCAGTTTTCCACATTTTTTTTCTTCGTTCTTGAAATATTGATTTGATATTTGGTATATAGTTTTATCATGACAAGTTATAGATTAAGTTTTAATTTTGTTCCAGTCTGATGATTTAGTCCAGAGTTATGGTCCATAAAAAACTCCATAACTAATGTTAGAGTACTATGTTAAACCATATATCTGTACAAAGGGAGATAACTCATTTTTTGAAAGACTTTCTTTGGTAAATTGTTTGAGGAATTTTGTTTACAGGTTTATATGTTATTTTGTATAAACTAATTTTCTGAATGCTACATGTATATATGTATATATTTTTTTTTTATTAAGTGAAATCCTTTAATTAGATAATAATCTATTTTTATTAAGGTATATTTTTCATTACATTACATTGTGTAGATAAAAGTTGTTGACATTTTATAGATAAGTTACAAATCTATATTAGTTTGTGACAAATGAAAGAAAAAATATTTGGAACTATTAATTATATTTGATTGTAATTTGAAAATAGATATACATTGTATTACATCATATCTAATTTTAGAGAACTATTAATCATATCTAATGTTAGAGTGTTGTAGGTTTTCCACACTTTTTTTCATCATGCTTGAAGATATTGATTGACAATTGGTATATAGTTTTATCATGAAAAGTTACAGATCAAGTTCAAATTTTTGTTTCGGTCTGATAATTTTGTGCAGAGTTATGGTCCTTGGACTTGAAAAAATTCACTCATATATTCAGTTTTCCACACTGTTTTTAGTCATGCTTGAAGATATTGACTTGATATTTTCTTTTTGTTTACACCATGACAAGTTATAGAACAAGTTAGCATTTTGTTCCAGTATAATGAATTTTTACCTGGTAGGTGACTATGTATTTCCATGCAATACTCTCAGAATGCTTGTTTTAAATTGTCCGCCAACATAGGAATTTTTATAATGGTCATTTTGGAAAAAATAAAGATAAAATATTCTGCTTAAGACCTACACAGTCAGTCCTTTCAAAATAGTACTGTTTTTATTTGGTGCCAAACAACCACAGAGTGCTCATATAACAACTTGAATACAAGACTTGGTTTCATTTTGGAATGCTCCAAAAAAAAAAATTTGGGGGGAAAAATCACAACTATGAAACAATGCATAGTGAATGCAATTTGAACATGAAATAAGCTGAGAGGTACAGATTCATGGGAGTCTTTAGTTGTCCCTGTTTGTAGAAACTACCAAACTGATTTATAAATATATTGTTGTAAAGAAACTTTGAAATTTTGTTTTTAATTATTAAATGCACGACTTACATGACTTAACAGGGTGAAAGTTTTGACATACAATTGTTAGTTTACTACTAAGATATTTTAATTCTCAAATGTCATAAACATGATAAATATGTGCTTGTTCATGTTTCGGGACAGTAAACTTCATAAGGTTAATGTGTTAATATTTTATTGTGAATCTTGCACACGTTTTATGTTTTCTATTTTGCTGCATGGTTTTCTTTGAAAATGTTTTGTGTCAATAATTTTATTTAAGTGCACTGAGATTTACACATTAATATAGTTTACACAGAATAATATATGAAGAAAATTACATTATTTTTGAAAAAAATACTTAAGGATCAAAGTGAAAAGCTTTAATTCATAATGTATATTTGAAAACAAATTATTATTCGAAAACACTTAATTTTAATTTAAGTGATTTTAGTTGTGTTGAGATATCATCTGTATCACTCAGCATTGATGAGAAAAGATGACACACTTTTAGGATATGGGATATAGGGGGTAAAAAAAGTGGGATCTGGGACAAAGAAGGAAAAAATGTGGGAAGTTGGAAAAGATGACAAAAAAAGCGGTATTTGGGAAATGAGCACCCACTTACAAGTCACCTCCCTCATTTATGACTTATATTTTAGCCCTATATACCATAGTAGAAATGGTATAGTGTGATGGGGCATGGTGTCCTATGGAATCATATTCTTGTTTTTTCTTGAGATGACATGAATACACCTCCTTAAGTTAGAGGTGGTTGACTTTCTTTTTGCCAGCTAAATCTTAATCAGTGCAGATAAAAATGTTTTATCAGTTAACAAATGTTTCCATGAAAAATTTAATGTTTACATTGATCACCTTCCATCCTTCTTTGCTTTTCAAAAAGAAGTTTTGATGATAATTATAAATAAGAAGATGTGTTCTGAGTGCCAATGAGACAACTCTCCATCCAAGTCACAATGTGTAAAAAGTAAACAATTATAGGTCAAAGAACGGCCTTCAACAGGGAGCCTTGGCTCACACCGAACAGCAAGCTATAAAGGGCCCCAAAATGACTATTGTAAAACTATTCAAACAGGAAAACCAACGGTCTAATCTATATAAAAAGCGAGAAACATTTAAGAACCACATCAACAAACGACAACCACTGAACAACAGGTTCCTGACTTAGGATAGATAACTATTTTTTTTGCTTTTTTACACTTTCAGGTCTAAGGTTCTTGGAAAGACATCAGGTATTGATGAACCAGGGGTACTGAAGTGGGACCTCGTTCTGATACTGTTGCTATGTTGGGTCATTGTTTATTTCTGTATATGGAAAGGACCTAAATCTACTGGAAAGGTAGGGAAAATTCTCATGACAAACTAGAAATTAAACAAAAAAAAACTTTTATTAATATTTAAAGCAGAAACTATTTATGTGTTAACCAATTTTCTTGCAATTAAGGTAGATCAGGTTGTCTTTTTCTGAGCATCCCTTCTGGTTATGTTGCAAAAATACTTTTTTGGTATAAAAATATTATATAGTATCATTCAGTATGCAAAAGAAATATCTTAAACTAGATATATATAGATTAAACTATCAAACAATTAGTGTCTATTTATAGATTAAACTATCAAACAATTAGTGTCTATTTATAGATTAAACTATCAAACAATCAGTGTCTATTTATAGATTAAACTATCAAACAATTAGTGTCTATTTATAGATTAAACTATCAAACAATTAGTGTTGTTAAGTGTATTTAAATTTATTATTGGAGATTTTAATGTTACATATTGAAATTATTATTCAAAAGTAACAGCTGGACTCAGTTGACATAACAATTGATTTACCCAAACAATATGGTCTAAACTTCTTTTTTTTATAATTATGATGAATTTAAATTAAATTGATCACATCAGAAAAAAGGTTAACACATGGAGAGTTTTTGGTCTATATGTACAACAATAAATCTTACATGATAACAAAGAACAAGCAGAAACTTATACATTATAAGCAAACATGAATGTTTACAAGCCAAACCAGGAAATATTTTGACAAGGTGATATTAAATGACAGATCTATAAATTAAAAAACAAGATTTCATGGAAAAAAAACAAATAGACTTGAAGGATAGTTATCTTTTTCAGTACTTAATTTATTCATAAAGTTTGAAAGAATTATTATGTACATGAGATATATATTGTGTGTGTTGCAGTTTTAGGCCATATCTGGAAAAAATGATCTGATGATGCACTTAAACAAATGTTTCATTACGTCGTTGATTTTATCAAGATGATAACAGGAAAAAATTCAAGTTGATATCTATATCCGTTACTAAGAACATGGACTTTTGAAAATACATAGAATACCGGCAGGTTCAAACCCAAGAGCTATTCAGGACTGATAACATGTTTTAGATGTCAGATGAATACATCTGATTTTGTACTAGTCATCTATCTCAGGAAAACATTTCCCACACTAGTCTGATAGCATCCTAATTTGCTTTTAGTTGGGAAGTACTTTAGGGAGGAAGCAAATACCAATTTTAAAAAGTTTTTGATGTCCATACCAGAAATTAACCTAGTTAAAAGACAATATAATTATTTAATGAATTTGTCCATATAAACAATGAGTTTATGAAGTATAGTACTGACTGAAATTTTCCAATAAATAATGCAGTACCCATAATTTCTCTTGAAATCCTCTAGTTCCAAAAAACTTATTCTGCAGAGATCTGAGCCTATACCATTATAATTTTCACAATTTACTGGCCCATCAGGAAAACTGTTTGCCTCAGATATAAGTGTTGCAGACCTACCGTAAATTTTGAACAATTAGTGTGGATTCATTTATTTTTGTAGGTACCACTTTTCCTGGATTGAGGAACAATTGCATTTTCATGGATACTTGATTTTGTGGTTTTGCCAAAGTCTGCATACAATTTTAAAGAAAATTTGTAGATAACCTTCATAAAACATGTAGAAGACACCAATATTCGGAAACCAAATCAATGTACGACTAAATCATTTATTTGTCTTTTAACTAAATAATTTGCTCTCAATCTCCCAGTGGTAACTTTGGTTGGCTTTAATACCAACAGCTAAATATTTTAAAGGAGATTAGAAACAGTCCAATCTGTTTTGGCTGAATCAAAATTTGTTTGGTTAAATCAAAAGCTTTCTATTTTTATGTACAGCACTAAAGTGTTGTATTTGTTTTTGTCGCAGAAAGCTCGACATAGGGATAGTGATCTTGCGGCGGTGGCTGCGGCGACGACGGCGTTAACTTACTTCTTAAAAGCTTTATATTTTAGAAGGTAGAAGACCTGGATGCTTCATACTTTGCATATAGATGCCTTATGTTACGAAGTCTCCGTCTGTCACATGTCCATTGTCCTTGACCTCATTTTCATGGATAAGTGACTACTTGAAAAAAAAGTTAAGAATTTTGTAATGTTAATTTCTCTCTTATTATGAGTAATAGGATAACTATATTTGGTATGTGCGTACCTTGCAAGGTCCTCATGCCCATCAGACAGTTTTCACTTGACCTCGACCTCATTTCATGGATCAGTGAACAAGGTTAAGTTTTCATGGTTAAGTCCATATCTCAGATACTATAAGCAATAGGCCTAGTATATTTGGTGTATGGAAGGATTGTAAGGTGTACATGTCCAATTGGCATTGAACCTCATTTTCATGGTTCAGTGGTTATAGTAAAGTTTTTATTGTGTTTTGGTCTGTTTTTCTTATACTGTATGCAATAGGTCTACTATATTTGGTGTATGGAATGATTGTAAGGTGTACATATCCAACTGGCAGGTGTCATATGACCTTGACCTCATTTTTATGGTTCAGTTGTCAAAGTTAAGTTTTTGAGTTTTGGACTTTTTTTATAATACTATATGCAATAGGTCAACTATATTTGGTGTATGGAAATATTTTATGATGCACATGTCAGTCTCGCAGGCTTTATTTGACCTTGACCTCATTTTCACGGTTCATTGCTCAGTGTTAAGTTTTTGTGTTTTGGTCTGTTTTTCTTAAACTATAAGCAATAGGTCAACTATATTTTTTTGTATAGAAGGATTGTAAGCTGTATATGTCTGTCTGGCAGGTATCATCTGGCCTTGGCCTCATTTTGTTGGTTCATTGGTCAATGTTAAGTTTTCATGGTTAAGTTTGTTTCTTAGATACTTTAATCAATAGGTCAACTATATTTAATGCATAGGTTGATTGTAAGGTGTACATGTCTGCCTGGCATGATTCATCTGACCTTGACCTCATTTTCATGGTTCATTGGTCAATGTTTAGTTTTCTTGGTTAAGTCTGTTGCTTAGAAACTATAACAGTCAGGGGTACTACTTGTACAAGTAATTTTTATTTACTTGAAGAAGTAATTATAATATACTTATATAAGTAAGTTTGTAGGATACTTATACAAGTGTATTTTATTTACTTGTATAAGTAAATTATTTTTTGGCCTAGTTATTTCCCTTAGACATTCAGATTTTTTTACTTATACAAGTAAAAAAGTCATCCTATCTTCTTTTCTTGAATTCTTAGAACTTCTTTGCTCTAACAGAATTTTGAATTGTCTGTCCTTTGCAGATGTCTTTACTATTCATTTAAGTGTAATTTCATGGACAATGAAAATCTCATTTGTCTGTTATCTTTAGAACACTGCTCATTTACAAGCCCCCAAGGAGCAATTTTTGAAGGCCTTGCGCAAATACTTAAGATCTTTGCTCAATCAGTTTCTTTGTTGAATTAATGAGATGAAACATTGAACTCTTATCAAAAATTATGAGCTAACCTGAGAAAAATTGTTAAAGGCATGATTTAACATCTCAAAACTTGAGAATTTTTGTGGAATTGTAAAAAAATTTACTTATACAAGTAAATTTTTTAGAAAATTAAAGGGAGATTATTCAAACAATATAATTAACTTGTATAAGTGTATTTTATTTACTTCTTCAAGTAATTAAAAATTACTTGTACAAGTAGTACCCCTGACTGTATAAGCAATAGGTCAACTATATTTAGTGTATTGAATGATTGTAAGGTTGATAGTTGTTGTAAAGCTTTATATTTAGGAATTAGGACTATCAACATAATATCAATGGTTAGTAAAGAAGGCGAGACATTTCAGCCTGTGCACTCTTGTCTTGTGTTATGATGAGGATAATGGGTGGCTGCTTAACATCCAGCGGCAAATTAAATGCATATTCAAGACGAGAACATGTTAAGATAATATGAATATCAACCCTGCTTTGTGCTAGACCAACACGCCGAGCCAGATTTTTAACATGCTAGTTCACAAGATAACAGTGCAGTAAGACATGTCATCTTACCCAGACACATTATTCTGACTCTGAGCCAACCAATAGTTGCTCCAACTCCTTAATGCTGTATGCTTAGCGGAGAATCAGCATTGTGTTATGAAACATATCTTTATTTGTAGGTTGTGTTATGAAACATATCTATATTTGTAGGTTGTCTATTTTACTGCTACATTCCCATATCTTGTATTACTGGTATTGTTGGTTCGTGGACTGACCTTAGAGGGGTCATACAAAGGTGTGATGTACTTTATAAATCCAAAGTGGCACCTGCTTCTAGATGCTAAGGTAATATAAGATTATATAACATATGTATACAGGTATGACAGTGGAATGTAACCTTTTAATCAAACAGGATGTTATTTATATAATGACATATAATTTTATCTACAGGTTTAAGTAGAAAACCTCAAATTTGGCTTCCGTAGATAAGTATTTGTTAAGGACAATAGTGCATGTGTCTTTCCTTTTGTGACTTTGATGAAGATGTAAAAAAAATAGTACATAAAAAGTTTTAAAATTTAAATGCATAAATCGTAATTTTATTTTCTTCGTTTTGTCATTTCCTTAATCCTGAATTGACTCTGAAATGGGAACTTAATGTAGGTTATTCTTCTTTATGGGCACAGTGCTGGATTCCATGCAACAATAAGGCGAAAAATCAGCAGTTATTATTCTAATGACTAACTCAACAGGGTAATTTCAGGCTTCCCTATTTAAAAAAAAAGATAATTGTCAATTGCAAAAATTTAATCTTTAAAGTTTACCACAAGTAAATGTGCTAACCCACACAATTCCAATACAAACACAGAAATAAATAAAATATTTGCCCCAAGAAAGTGAAAGGATAGTTTCACTTGCAAGTTCTTGGAAATATAATTAACTTGGCTAACAAAAAAATGCAGTTATAAAGCTTTACCATTCTCCATTTATTTTGCAGTGATTGTATTTATATACTTTACCTTTTTTACTTCCAATGAGCTAGAAATTATTGTTTAATATTAAGCTAATATACTAATAATATCATTTTACTGCATCTTCCCATTGCAACAAACCAGCACTTCTTCTTTGAAGGGGTTGTATCTTGTATGACCATATAATTTTAGAGTCAATTTCAGGAATTAAGACATGACTTAATTAATTTATATTGGTACATAAAACCTTGCCCAAATCTTAAGAAAAATTTAACAACAGTAGTTATAAATAGATAGTTGTTTTTTTTATGTCATTTTTAGAAAATGTCTTACTTCAAATTTTAACAATTTAAAAAATTGCTTAATGAACTTCTAATAGTTAAAATTTCGTGAGAATCTGTTGAGAAAATATTTTATTTTGTTTTGTTTGATATTGACTATTGTGGTATGAAGAGACACATCTGACCCATAATGAAAAAAAAATAATGTTAAAAAAAATAAAAATTCTTTTTTTAAATTCTATTTCATTTTGAGTTTCTATTTCTATCAGTTTCAGATATGAAAATAAATGTATGAGTTCCTATCAAATAGGAATGTAAAGTAAGTTATATCCAGGAGATGATGATTATTTCTGTTGCAATAAGTTTTAATTTTGAGCAATAGAGCAAAAATTTTGTGATATATACAAAATATTCAAGATTGTAATTCTAAAATAAAAGAAAGGTTAATTTAAGTGAAATATACATGTACCGTTAAAAGGCTTGTATAGTCCGCGGTTTTATTCTCCAAAATTGACCCTGACAGCAGGGGTGCGGACTATAGAGAACAATAAGCAAGAAATAAGAGAGAAAATTTCAATTTCGAGATGAGGTTTGTTTACGTTCCGCCATGTTTGTTATCGACATTGTAGAGGGCAATCTTATCATTTTTCAAACCAATAATTTAACCCAATCCATATTAATAAGTTATTTTTATTCAATATCAAATTAATACTGATAAATTTAAAAATTAAATGCTTCATTACAAAATTCTTGTTTCTTTTCAATGCATTGCTAAATATAAACTGGTAACTTCTTGAATGAAATCTTACAAAAAAAGTTAAAAAAAAGACAACCGTAAACCAGCTTACGATGAGTAAACTACAAAACGTAATCGGTTATTATTCGTTCCGTTTTGGTGTTTCCTATTGACAAATATGTTTTGTATTAGATAAAGACCCTTTAAACATTAATGTGCTAGATATATTAAACACTGTTTTACATAAGGAGGGAACTGTTTTACTTTCAAGGTCGTATTATAGTGATATCTATTATGTACGGATTTCGACTCTCACCGGGTTTTTTCATCTTTTACACGTGCTTTTCAAACTTCCGGTTTAAACATACACAAGTTTCAAATTGTTTTTTTTGTGTGATTTAAACATTTTAACAAGCGTGAAGTGTTTTAGAACCATTTACAAGCAGTTTCAGCTTCTGTTTTGTGATGGTTATTAGGTTTTTCCAAGAAAATACCGTAAACGACCACACACGATTTGAAATTACCGGAGATTCATTAGACCTTTTCTAACAGTTACAAAAAGTTTTTTTACCTGAAATTTCGTGGGGAGAAGGGAGTGCGGACTATGTACCAGTGCGAACTATACAAGCCTGATTACGGTACTAGATTTGATTTGAAAAAAGGGAATTTTTGCTGAATAATTTATAAAGTCATTGAACAAAAATTTAATTTAAACTACAAAAAGACATACTGAAAATTCAGAAATTTTTATGATATTTTATAATTGTGAAATATGATGCAGGGTTAGTATTTCATTAATTCGAACTCTCATTTTAAATTTAGATCACATTACTTGTATGCATCATTAACATAATTGGCAATGATTAATCTTGAATTTTTGTTTTTGATCTGAAATGAGTGTTTTGGACCTAAAGGGTCTTCTGTTTTCACTTGGCATTCATCATCATTCAGAAACCTTGTTTTTGTCGTAGAACTTTTATCAATTTGAACAGAACTATAACATGACTTGCCATTATTAAAAATAAGCCAAAAGTTATAAAAGACTAAATGGAAGTATATTTTACAGATTCAATCGGTGTTGTCTGCCAGGTGAACAATACAGGCTCCTTGGAGCCCTTGGTTTTACTCCAAGGAAGTCTGCAACTTGAATGGTTATAGTATATTATGAGGGAAATTTGTCTTTATCATTCTTTATCGGATAAAGAAAGGAATTTTGAAATAGATTCTACCACTGCAATGATTCAGATACCACTTTTCTCCACTGGGACAGATGTTTTAACCTTAAATTGTGTGTGCCAAGTGTTTAAAGATATTTGAAAATGTTATTGTCGACAGTGGCAACATATCATTGTACAATATTGCAGTGGTTGAGTTTGTTTCTCTTAAGGACTGTTCCATAAATATAGGCATGCAACCCAGGGAAAGCATTTGCTGATATGGGGGGGGGGGGGGGGGGGGGAGAGGGGGGGGGGAATATTTTTTTTTCACGTTTAAAATGTATGCAGATCTCTAAAACTGCTTCTATGGGTGGTTAAGTGCCTTCCCTTGGTACCATGTATGTTTTAATGGAACAGCCCTAATGACTTTTAGTTGATATTTTTTTCTGACAATTTTTAATTTTGTTGTGATCTTGTGAAATCATAAGGCCATTGTTGCCTTTTTTCGTGCCATCACATCAGCAGACCAGTGAATAGCAAGGAAATTGGGTGTCATAACTGCATTTTAACCAGTGAAGAACTGAGAACTGATAAACGACAAGCCATATGTAGAATTAAAAACAATTGAATAAAAACCAGTTGTCTAATGTGAAAAAAAATTCTAAATATAATAGAAATATTTTTAATGCAAATTTATCAACAACAAAATTTTAAAGATAATAGAACTATTTTTAATGCAAATTGATCAACAGATTATTAAAGCAATGTGAAATAGACTATTTTCATGTAACAGACTTTTGTCTCCAGAGTATATAATTTTAGACAGATTAAATCCAGGAAAGCGCTTTGGATGCATGAAATTTATAACGTGTTGTTTTCATTTTTTACCTTCATTGTTTAAAAAAATAGTTTAAGTAATAGCAACTAAAAGAAGTAAAATTAAGCTTACAATCTGTACAATTTTGGGGAAAAAAATAATTATTGTTTCCTGATGATTTTGTTGTGTATAGAAAACATATAACAGTTAATTTTCCCCAAATTTCACCCAATGTAGCTTGATTTTACTTCATTTAGTTGCTCTTACTTGGTCAAGTACCAGAATGTCCTACCATAGAGTAGGTAACCTGTAGAAGAAAAAATATACATACTCTGGAGTCAAAATTCAATAATAAGAAAACAGTCTATTTGAATTGACAAAAAAGCATAAATGCAATAAATTTCAAAAAGTTTTCCACACTATTTTACATGTTTCGGGAAAAAAAAATTAAAATATTTTGAATGGTTTGGTATTTAAATATTTTGTTGATCCTTTTGTTAACTGTTATTATCAATAATTTTCAGGTATAGTACTGTATGTCCCACAGTCTCTGAAAGGTTGGATTTTTCATGAAAATTTCTGTGAGCTAAAAAATGTACTTTCACTTTACTTTTGTGAAGTTGTAAATATTTCTTCACTTTAATAGCACAAAATTATTCTGAAATCATTTTCATACAGGATTTTCAATTTATGAAAATGAATAATGTCAGCACAAAAAGTACATCTGACAGTTAAGAAACTTTTTATTGGCAGCTTGAAAAAAATATACATCAAAATGCTTTTAAAACTTAACTACATATTGATTTTCATGAATAATTACTTTCTAAGTTCAGTTGGACATACAGTAGATTTTAGAACAAACAATGAATTAGAATCTAACTGAGAAACTATGGACAACTGACTTCAAAACCTTTGACATTTGTGACAGTAAGGTACACAAAGTCAGAGAAAATATTGTACTTTTTTACTTCTATCCATTGATTGACAAAAAACTTCAATTTTCAAATGACCTGTTGAATTGGACATGTCAGATGCTGGACTTAAGGAGCCCCATATTATCATAGGATGACAGACACCTGACAATTTGGACAGATTCTGAATTCTAAGATCATAGATAATAAAGTATATTCATATAGATATTTTTCTGAAAACTGAGTTTGATTCCTGCATTTACTTGGATAGAGACGGCTCTTCAGGATTTAAGCAGTGTAGAATTAATCATATCCGACACTAAACTGTTGGACAAAGTATCATAAACAGACGCTGGATCTTCATAAGTCTTCATATCTTGAAATTGTCAGACAGCCATGAGACAGAAGTTGTACTATAGGCATCTATAAACTTAAAAGGCACTCTAAAAACATTGGATAAAGTGGTATCCAGGAATGTCTTTTGCCCTTGGAAAAACACAATAACACCCTAGAACAATGGGAAAACAACTGAATGACCTGTGACACTGGACAGACACTGTAATTATCAGGGACAATGGACAAACACTGAAATGCTCATTTATAAGTTACTCTTAATTCAGAAAGTATTGCATGCATTTATTTTTGCAATTTTTGAAGAATGGAAAACATTGTGAGATTAATTATTGCGATTTTAGGAAAATCTGCATACAGATATATGTATCAAATATATATCAAAATGCGAGTTCTTATTATTGCAAGATACTCACCCAGTCGCATTATTCACATTAATAAAAACATTGCAATAATTTCAGAATTTTTGGTACTTCGAAGTGCAAATCATATTGCAGAGAAGATGACTGGTTCTCAGTCAGCGTAGGAGCAATTTTAAGAGCATAGGATCAGTTTGCTTTTTAATATTTTAACATTTGTTAACATTATGCTTGAACTGTTTTATTGTAAAAACAAAGTTCCACAATTGTTCAGTTTTAATATTGTTCAATAGAATACGAACAGGAATATACAAACTTTATGTTTCTTATCAATTGCTCCTGCAAGACTAGTGAACAGTGATCTTTCTATAGGGGAAATAACTCTTGACAGAGTTTTGTCACAAAATGAAACAGATAATTAATGTGCTGACAGTATAGACCAACTAACGACCGACAGACTTGAGACATATATCTATTATTGTTTTATTATCTTCAGGTTTGGGTGTATGCTGCGGCACAGACCTTCAATTCTCTTGGAATAGCGTTCGGTGGTATTATTACTATGTCAAGTTATAATAAATTCAACAATAATATCTTGAAGTAAGTCTGGGTTGACTTTGTGCCCGGATTGTCGTAATTGGTATTAGATTCACGTCAAACCTTTCTGTTTTACCACTGATTCAATTTATACTGCAATCACTCATGATAAAAAAGATACGCACATCCTTGGAACTTGCTTAGATGAGTCCATGATCATCAATTTCAGCTGCAACTAAATAAAATTTTCTGCTAAGATATCCATGATGAGGGACTCAACAAATAATAATTGTACAGGTACATATGTTCCTGGATTCATGTAAACATGAGCATTATCTACAGAAAATTCTTTTGTGATTTGATTGAAAAAATTTCCATAGATATTTTTTCATAATATTTGTTAAGATTTTATATTTCATGTAAAAGTTTAACAATTTCGCACGTTTTGGTTGTCTTCTAAAAAGATTTTAGAATTGCAGTATAAAGAGAAAAATCATACATTGCCATGTTTAAAGATTTTATTTGTGCTTGGCATAAAACAGGATAGTAATGCGTAAGAAGCGTTGATGATCTACCTGTTTCTAAATCTTGCCCAAATAAATTTGATATTATAAGGCAAGTTATGGTTATTCCAGGTTTTATATGTATGACACTAACTTTACCTGATTTTTGTGAATAGATGCCAACATCAATTGTTCCATAGCCAGAGACTGGATAAAAACCCAACTGACCCCATTGTTTCCTTAACAAAATTTTTATTTTTTTATTACAATATTTAAATACAAATTTGCTGCTGGGAAGAACATATAATTTTTTTTTTGAGCATTCTTGAAACAATTTTAACATTTTTCTTTTAAATTTCCTACAGATCAAATTAAAGTGTATTTCTATTTTCTGAACAAGCTATTTTCATGCTGTCTAAGATTTAATTGATGCGGAACGAAAACTTATAAGAATTATTCCGGCAATGGCAAGCAGAAATATTTTCCAGTCTTGTCCAGCAGCTATTCTCATTGTAACTTTTAATACAGTGTTAATCAGTTTTCTACTGTTCCTCTAGCCTTTTAGTCTATTTTCCAACTGACCCATCCTGTTGTGTCTTTTAAAAAATATTGAAATAATCCAATATAACTTTGTCAGTTTTTAACTTTCTTAGTCATATAATATGAGATAAGAATTTTGCAATTCCTTCTTCAGGTTTATTTAAGACCCCGAATTTAATTTTGAACAGGCATGTCACTATAGTAAAAGACCCTTCAGCAAGGCCTAAATAAAAAAACTTAAAAAACTTAATGTATTTAGGATTTCCCTACCTACCTTTTTTAATGCCCATGTCATAGGCAATGGGGGGATTAAGTGTTTCCCTCGACTGTCTGTCCTTCCGTCTGTCCCATTTTCATTGCAAAGCTTGAGCGTTGCCATTCGTATCCTCAGACACATTCTACTTTTATTTTTTTGTCTGAAAATGCATACCCTAAAGTTTTCACTGTTTATTTTAGTAGTGAATTGTGACAGAATTGCAGATGGTCCCCATATACTCAAGATAAAAAAAAATTAGTGAAGTAAAAAAGAATTCATACCTACCCTAATTTTCTTAAGGAGGAAACTCTTAACACACATACTACTTTGCTTGGCCCAACTGAAAATAGTAAGTCTTCACTTGTTCTAATAATAAAAGAAAAACAATTCTGTTTTATTTTCCACACTCTCCTATCTAGTGGGGAAATAAAACAGAATCTTTGACTAGAACATTTAAAGGAAGAAAATATGACTTATAATTTATTTTATTAATAAGTATAAATACAATCAATACAGGGGTTCATTTTTGCTTTAAATAATGAAAGGTCCAGGACCATTTGAAATTTTAAGTGAAAGGTCCTCATAAGAAATCAATGGTCGTGTATAAAGCATCAGTGTAAAGAATGGAAGGTCCTTGAATTTTGTAATTTAAAAATGAAAAGTCCTCTCCTAGAAAAGAAAAGTCCGTGGACCTCGGACCCACACTAATTTGGGACCCCTGCAATAAAGAAAGAAAGCACAAAATTCAGTGCACTTTAAATTTAAAAAAAATAAAAATAATCCTCCCACTCCAAATCCTGATTCAAGACATGAACAGGACTAAGAAAGGATATATGTTTTTTTGTGATGATGTCTTGGAACATTAGTTGAATAAGGTGAACTAATATTTTAAGAACCGCCATCTTTACAAGTGCAATCAGGTATACTAAAAACTGGAACAGCGTAACTATAGATTTACTGGCGGTAAACATGTGGGTGTTAAATTTTTAAATCCTTCAAGCAAAGTTATAGAATTAGGTGAAGGTTTTTTTTCCAGAAGTTTGATGATACAAATTGAAAGGATTATAAAAATATTTTTTTTAACCTCATGCCATTTGAGTAATTTTATATGGTATTGCATAATTATATGTATTATATTTTATTCAAGTGTGAAATTAAAAGCTTAAATTATTTACAGTTTTTACACTTTAAAGTGCAGTTAGTTTTAAAAATGTTACGAAAAAGAATTTATAAGTGTATCAATAATCTAGTCCAAGTCGTTAAAATTCTATTGCTTGTGGCTAACTCTGTGGGAGGCTAGACATATATTTGTTACATTTCAGACGTTGCTTATATATTTTTCTTCAAATAGGTTGATTTAGAAATAAGGTCTTTTGTACTTCAACACGAAACAAATGTGCATTTTTATGCCACCACAACATCATGTAGGTGGCATATTGTAATACCCTTAAGCTTGTCATCTGTTTGTCACAGAGTACATGGTTTGTCCAGTTAACTCCTCCTACATTTTTCAAGCTAGAGAAAACATTTATATAATGCAGAGATTTATAACATATACTAAAGTTGTGCATAATATCAGGATTTTTAATTTTAAATTTACCACAAGTGAGAGCAAACTATATTCATGCATATTACTTGGGTATCATCTTTATCTAGTTTTACTCTATGCATCTCAGTTTTGCCAGCTAGCACTTGATGCCTGCCACCTCAGGCATGCTGCTGTGACGAACAATGCTCTATTTATCTATCTTCATTGACTTTTGAGTGTTTAGGAAGAAGTATTAATAAAAGACCTGCTGTAACAGTAATATACATGCATCTTTGTTCCAAGCAGAATATTAAGCTCTGCCCCCTCAAAATTTTGGCAACGTTAGAATGTTTTATGATCAGATTTATTATTGAAAAGGTCCCGACCATACTTTTAAATTGTTGCTATAGGTTTCAAAAATTTCATTTCCAAGCATAATATGAGACCCTACAGGATTGAAAATGTTTTTGAAGAATTGTTTACAATAGGCTATTATCATGCAAGAGATTTTAGTTTTTCTATGAAGTGTTTTGTGGGCTGTTTCGTCTTTTCCTGAAGTTTGTTACTCTTGACCTATTTTAATGGCTCAGTCACTGTTTCTGAAATTGAATCTATATATGCTTATTGGATAGCTTTAATTACTATATGTAAAAAAAGCTTTTAAATATTTCAGAAATTGGAATCGCTATATAAACTAAATTTTTATAGATAGATAAGGTCTGAAGTTTGTTCCTCTTGACCTATTTTAGCGGTTAAGGGACTTACTTTTAAGTCAACATTAAGTTCTCTGGATAATCCATTTTCTCAGTTATTAAGAGTATTACTGGTAAACTATATTACTGTAAGCTGTACACTTTCAATTTGAAGGGTCACCTGACTTTGACCTCATTTTCATGATGTTAACTTTTTGAGCTTAGGTCAGTTTCTCAGGTACTGTAATAGGTCAACTATGTTTTATGTTTTGAATAATTATAAGGTGTTTCACCTTGACCTTAATTTTATGGATCATTGATTCATACTTAGTCTGGTGAAAAGAACAGTTCTAAACTACTTTATAAGAAAGACCTTTTATCTGTTCTCTGCATGCCTGTAGCTAAGATGTTGTGAAGGGAGTTTGTTTGGGATCACGAGGCTCTGACTTAAATAGTTAATTTTAATAGTCTTTAATAATATTTTTAAATTTCAGATGGAGAAGGGGGAGGGAGTGGTTTTCTAAAACCCTTTGGCTATGGGTGTGGTCTGTTATATGATTGTAATGCCACTTTGTTAGTTTGAAGCATGTATTTTGACCTTGATGTCATAGCGTTTCAATATTTTTTATTCAAGTCTGTTACACGTAATCATATACACAGGCTAGACATAAGTATGTCAGAAAGATCATTTTGTAATGAAAATATTGTTCTCTTTAAAAGAATCTACAACTATCTTATTTATAAAAATTACTGCATCTAAGAAAAACAAGAAATTAAATCCATGATGAATAGGTTTGGTTTTTGAAATTGCAAAATTTAATCTTCGAGAAAAAATAAACCACTTAAAAGTATATGATTTTAAACTTCATGATTTTTTTTGGATGGAGATTTATGCATGATTTTTACATAATTGTTTTAAATACCTTGTCAATTTTTATTTATTTTTATTCTTTTCAGGGACGTGTTGACTATAGCAATAGTTGATGCTGTGACTTGCATTTTGGCAGGATTTGCCATTTTTGCCACTTTGGGATTCTTGGCAAATAATCAGGGTAAAGAAGTGGAAGATGTCATCAGCCAAGGCAAGTTTTATAGAACACAGTGTTATATATTGCCATTTAAACTTTATTATCCAATTAAAGAGCAGTGCATGTGGTTGCATTTTACTCCATTCATCCTATTCTGTCAATGTATATATATCTATAAATTGTTTAAAGAGAGACAACCTTAGACAAATATGGGGAAATTTCTTCGGGTTAAATTTACATTTGTTAGTTGCAAGAAACAAGATGAAATATGAAACACAAATGGAAAAAAAAAAATAGATATAGGGTATGTATTTCATTAATGTGACACTTACTTTGTATAAATAAAAGATTGGTTATATTTTCTAATTTGCAGTACATTTTTGTATATGATGGACACATACTTTTACATAAAATTATCCTGCAATTGGGTGTCTTATCATACATTTACCGCCCAACAGATATCGCTAGGCTGTATCTGTATACTATACAGATATCGCTTTAAAGCTCCGCCCACTGCCGTACTATGTTTGTGTATTGCTGTTGACGAGTGTTGTATGCTTGACCTTAGAATGTGTATTGCAGTCGCATTCCAATGACGTATTGCTTGACCTTATGCAAACTATAGATTAATTTACGTTCTGTTTGTTTTCAAGCATTTCTTTAGAGAAATATGAATTAAGCCCATTTTCTGCTAACAGACAAACATGAACAGCAGGATTATCTCCATTTTCTATGGCGCCAATCATCGAGTTCAAAACTTGAATGTGTACATGTGTAACACACAAAATCAACCATGCAACAATGTCAAGTTCAGTTCAAAATTCTGAAGCGTAGGACAAACCATACACTTCTGTTTTAAATCAGACAATGTTTTGTTATTTATTTTTACTGTTGAAATTAGTTGTTATGTTATAATAAATAATTATTTACTTTGAGTGATGTATTATTGTTGACCATTCGAGATTCTTTTCTGCGAACCTGTCTTCAGCTGAATGTGTGAATTTAATATTACTATGCGGGCCTCACAGGATTTTAAATAGAAAATAAATGCAATAAATGTGAGTTTTCTGTCTTTCAAAGCAAAAACAATATACAAAATTAATTGCAGGATAAAAACAATAACTGTTTAGTGTCTTTAAATATCAGCTGTATTTGTACTCGGCTCGAAACAGGAGTAATAGCTCGCTGAAGCTCGCATTACACCTGTTTCTCAGCCTCATACAAATACAGCTGATATTTAAAGACACTAAACAGTTATTGTCTATATAATTTATAAACATATTGTTATTTACAGGTCCTGGATTGGTCTTTATCATATACCCAGAGGCCTTCAGTACCATGCCAGGATCACCGGTGTTTGCTTTTGCCTTCTTCTTCATGTTGATTTTATTAGGAATTGACAGTCAGGTAAAGAGATTTCAGTGCTTTTCAACTACACTAAGGGAGCTACCATTTGATTTTTATGGGGGGGGGGGGGGCTAGGATGAAATTTGAAAAAAAGGCAGGACAGGAGTTTTGAGTAAAAAAAAAAGTCAGGATGAGAAACTTTGCCAAAAAAAAAAGGCAGGATGACAATTTCTGTAAAAAAAATTTGTAAGTGTCTTAACTACTTTTGCTGCTAGTCACAGGCTCAACAAAAATGGGGAAAAAATCATTAAAAATTTTCTTATAGCTACTATCTTTTGATTGTAAGAAGCTTCTGTCCAAGTTTGGTAAAAATCAAGAATGGTTTATGAATCTAATAAATGTTTTAAAAACTTGAACTACAGACTGTATGTAATGTTACTTGAAGAAAAACTAAATCCATTTATAAGTAATATATGGAAAAACAGGAAATATATTTTTACAAAATTTCCTTCTAGATACTAGCTTCTGTCCAAGTTTGGAACAAATTCAGGATAGTTTAAGAAAGTTATTAAAATTTTAAAAACTTTAACCACAGAGTGAATGTAATGTTAACTGGCAGAAAAACTAAGTCCATTTATAGGTAAAATACGGAAAAACAGGATTTTTTTTTTTTTTTTAATTTACTTCTGGATACTATTTTATGATCATAAACTAGCTTCTGTCCAAGACGACGACGGAATGTAGGATCGCTATGTCTCGCTTTTGTGACAAAAGTCGCAGCCTCAACAAAAAGTCAGGATTAACTAATAAAAAAAAAAAAAGGCAGGACCGAATAGAGTGAAAAATAAAAAGGCAGGACAGAGATTACAATTAAAAAAAATGCAGGACAAAATTTTTCATCCTAGCCCCCCAAAAAAATCAAATGGTAGCAGGGTCCGGTATTCGGATCTATTCCCAATGGCCAAACCCCTACTTTTTTCCCAATTTTGGGAGCAAAATTCCAAAACAATTTCAAAATTTATTTTCATCTTTATTATTCATGACAGCGATGTCCATTCTGTTCAACCGCTAGCTTTATGCCGAAAATTGCCAACAAGCAATGTGTAAATCCGAGTAAAAACATATCTGACTGAAAAAAACAACATCGACAAACAATGGCTGCCATAAACCGGAAATGTAGACAATTACAATACCAGATCAGATTCCGGGAGCAGATACGGCTAATTTCGGGTTTGCCGTTCAAATACAATAAATATATTTAAAAAATCCAGGCAGGTGACAAAGTACGGCTATGAAATATAAACACTAGAATTGAAAACCAATAGATTTATGAATAAGAAAGAAGAAACAGGAAATGTTTTATACAGAAACTCAAAATTATTTTTTTTCACAAATTTTCATGTCAAAATCCAATAAAATGTAACATTACTTTTCTTTATCACTAAACAATGCTGATATAAGTTGTTATACGACCGCAAAAAATTTTGCGGTCATATATTGGTATGACGTTGGCGTCGTCGTCGTCCGAAGACACATTAGTTTTTGCACAATAACTTTTAAGTGAATGGATCTCTATGAAATTTTACCATAAGGTCCAATACCACAAAAGGAAGGTTGGGATTGATTTTGGGGGTTATGGTACCAACAGTTAAGGAATTAGGGGCCAAAAATAAGCATTTTTATACGCCCGTTTACGGGACGTATTATGGTATACCTCTGTCCGTCCGTCCGTCCGTCTGTCCGTCGTCAACATGTCGGACATTAACTCAAAAATGCTTCTACCAATTTGCATAAAACTTTAGTGAATTGTTTATATCTATTGACGTGAGCTCCCTTTCGTTTTTTATAAAATTTAGATTTTACGTTTCCGAGTTATGGGTGTTTTATTCATTATAAAAAGGGGGATTTTCCAGTTTTCGGACAATAAGTCAAGAATGCTTTCACCAACTTGCAAGAAATTGTGGTGAATTGTTTATATCTATTGACATGAGCTCCCTTTCCATTTTTATAAATTTTAAATTTTACGTTTCTGAGTTACAGGGTTTATTCATAAAAAAAGGGGGGATTTTCCAGTTTTCAGACAAAAACTCCAAAATTCTTTCAGCAATTCGTATGAAACTTTGGTGAATTGTTTGTATGTATTGATGTAAGCTCCCTTTAGAATTTCATAAATTTTATATTTTACATTTCTGAGTTATTGGGTTTTATTCATTAAAAAAAGGGGTGGTTTTCCAGTTTTCGGACAATAACTAAAAATGCTGTCACCAATTCTCATGAAACTTTGGTGAATTGTTTATATCTATTGGTGTAAGCTCCCTTTTTATTTCCATAAATTTCTAATATGACATTGAGAATTAATTGAACTTTATTTGTTTATAGTCTGACAACAGATTTACTAAGTATTGGGGACTATTGCACAACAGCAAGAAATCTTTAATTGAATATAAATTCAATTCATATAACCAATTTCAAGTTCTTTGACTACATTTATTCAGAAACCTATTATATGTCAAATATTTAATTACAATCCAAATTCAGACCTGAATCAAGCTTGAATATTGTGTCCATTTTTGCCCCAACTGTTCAGGGTTGGACCTCTGCGGGCGTATCTAGCTGCGCTCAGCGAAGCAGTTTATTGTAACTTCCAGACAATAACTTGTGTGTAAGTGTATGGATCTCTCTGACATTGTACCACAAGGTTCCATATCACAAAGGGAAGGCTGGAATTGATTTTGGAGGTAATTGCCTCAAAATTTTAGGAATTAGGGGCCAAAAAAGGGGCAAAAAACAAGCATTTTTCTAGTTTCATGACAATAACTTGTGTGTAAGTGTTTGGATATTTCTGAAATTGTACTACAAGGTTCCATATCACAAAGGGAAAGCTGGAATTGAGTTTGGGGATAATTGCCCTAAACGTTTAGGAATTTGGGGCTAAAAAGGGGCCAAAAAACACATTTTTCTAGTTTCCAGACAATAACTTGTGTTCAAGTGTATGGATCTCTCTGAAATTGTACTGCAAGGTACCATACCACAAAGGGAAGGCTGGGATTGATTTTGGGGGTAATTGCCTCAATATTTTAGGAATTAGGGGCCAAAAAGGGGCAAAAAAGAAGCATTTTTCTAGTTTCAGGACAATAACTTGTGTGTAAGTGTATGGATCTTTCTGAAATTGTACTACAAAGTTCCATATCACAAAGGGAAAGCTGGGTTTGAGCTTGGGGGTAATTGCTCTAAACGTTTAGGAATTTGGGGCTAAAAAGGGGCCAAAAAACACATTTTTCTAGTTTCCAGACAATAACTTGTGTTCAAGCGTATGGATCTCTCTGAAATTGTACTGCAAGGTACCATACCACAAAGGGAAGGCTGGGATTGAGTTTGGGTAGGCGCGGGGGGGGGGGGGGGGGGGTGAATCATAAGGGGGTTCAAAAAATTGGGGGGGGGGGGGTTCCTTTTTTTTTTTCTTTTAAAATTTTCCATTTTAAGTTGGTTATTTCTGATTTATATTTAAAAGCAAATAATAATGATATGGTAGGAGATACACACCAAACAGGATGTGTAAATTATTATATAATAGGTATTGTGCAATAGCAAAAATTTTCAATTGCACAGTATTGCACAATAGCAAGAAATCTTCAATTGCACAGTATTGCGCAATAGCAAGAAATCTTCAATTGCACAGTATTGCGCAATAGCTAGAAATATCCAATAGCACAATATTGCGCAATAGCAAGAAATTGTCAATTGTACAGTATTGCGCAATAGCAAGAAATATTCAATTGCACAGTATTGTGCAAAAGAAGATACTTCGTATAAATTGCTTATTTCTTGACCAATTTCAATGGGGTTTTAATTCTTGAATTCTTGGGGTTCTTTAATATGCTGAATCTAACCGTGTATTAAGTTTTTGGATTTTGGGCCCCGTTTTTAAATTGGTCCACATTGAGGTCCAAAGGGTCCAAAATTAAACTTTGTTTGATTTCTTCAAAAATTTAATTATTGGGGTTCTTTGATATGCCGAATCTAACCGTGTAATTAGATTCTTAATTTTTGGTTCCGTTTTCAAATTGGTCTACATTAAGGTCCAAAGGGTCCAAAATTAAACTTAGTTTGATTTTAACAAAAATTGAATTCTTAGGGTTCTTTGATATGCTGAATCTAAACATGTATTTAGATTTTTGATTATGGGCCCAGTTTTCAAGTTGGTCCAAATTGGGGTCCAAAATTAAACTTTGTTTGATTTCAACAAAAATTGAATATATGGGGTTCTTTGATATGCTGAATCTAACCATGTATTTAGATTTTTGATTTTTGGGCCCCGTTATCAACTTTGTCCACATTGAGGTCAAAAGGGTCCAAAATTAAACTTTGTTTGATTTCATCAAAAATTGAATTCTTGGAGTTCTTTGAAATGCTGAATCTAACCATGTATTTAGATTTTGGATATTGGACCATAATAGGTGAATGTCCAATTTAAAATTTTTAAGTTCTTAGACCACATTCATTCTGTGTCAGAAACCTATGCTGTGTCAAATATTTAATCACAATCCAAATTCAGAGCTGTATCAAGCTTGAATGTTGTGTCCATACTTGCCCCAACTGTTCAGGGTTCGACCTCTGCGGTCGTATCAAGCTGCGCCCTGCAGAGCATTTTATTTTTATAATGTAAACATATAACTACAGATCCAAGAGGTAATTTTTTTTCTTCTCAATTTTGAAGGGCTAGTCAAAATCTGGAAGAGCAAGTGAATTAAAAAAACATGTTAGCCTGCTTGGCCAGTTAAAATTCATCTTATTTCTATTCCTGAATTATTAGTCCCCTACTAACGAAGTCGTATGGCACTTTAGGTTTACACTCCGTCCGTCTTTCTGTCAGTCAGTCCGGCAAATTAGTTTTCCACACTTTTTTTCTTCGTGCTTGAAGATATTGATTTGATATTTGGTATATTGTTTCATCATGACAAGTTACAGGTCAAGTTCCAATTTTGTTCCGGTCTGATGATTTTGTGCAGAGTTATGGTCCTTTGACCTCGAAAATTCACTTAAATAATCAGTTTTCCACACTTTTTTTGTCATGCTTGAAGATATATTGACTTGATATTTGTTATATAGTTTACACTATGACAAGTTACAGATCAAGTTAGCATTTTGTTCCAGTTCAATGAATTTTTAACTGGTAGGGGACTATGTATTGCCATGCAATACTCTCAGAATGCTTGTTTCTATTATAATAACCGTATAAACTGTTACTGTCTTTGAAGATAAAAAAGGTGGTAAATTTTTATCACATGTGTGCTTTAAAAATTACGATATTTTAATACTTAGATAAACTTGAGTGCCTTATTGTGAAGTTTAAAAAGAAAGAAAGAACAGAAAATAAAATTATAAATAGCGATCATGTAGTTTCTTACTTTATTTTCACAAAAAAAAGATAAATTTAATTAACCTAACACACTAAAACTCACATCTGGTATATTTGTAGTTTTCCCAATTTCATTGTAAATCGCGCAAAAAAATTCCCAAAACTGACCAGGGTCCTTCCTTTATCCAAAAATACCCAGATAAACCCCTGCATATTATACATTGCTGTCTTTTGATGCAATAAATTTGTGGTTTTTATTGACTTTTGAAATAAATGATATTCACTGAGGCAAAAGTCCATTTAATCACATATTTACTAAAAGATTTCCGAGAGATAAAAATGAATAACAATAATTTACCAAAGCCAATGGTACATCAAACATTTAATCATAGAGGTACATGTAAAAGTATGTGACATTTAGCGCAGTGAATATCACTTTTCTTCAGCGAATATGCTGTTTTATTCAAAATCCAATTCATATAGGAAAAAACCTACTAAAGTAATATCAATATAGAATAACACATATTATTCCACTGTTTAAACATATTGATAGTTTAATCAATATTTGATTGGTTGAGACTATCCCACGTGTCATTGGACAAATCTTCATATTCCATTCTGAGGATCATATTCCCCTCTGAAATATCGGGGTTACTTCATGCGACGTTACGCGCGGTTAATGTACATAACGTTTTGAACTTCTTATTCTTCTTAAAACAGCTATAGCAAAAATCATTATCATGTTCAAATTTATTTCAGACGATAAAACAAAAAGACTTATAATTAAATTTTGATCCTTACTGTTTATCAATGGGTATGTCGTGTTTAGTTTGACTTACAAAAACAAGCGGATAAGAAAAAAAAATGTATGTATGTATAATATTTAATGTATTGATAGTAAACAAAGCAAAGGCAGTGGAATAAAACATTCATTTCCTTTGGCCTCGGTAGATATGAAGATTAATTCACCCTCGAAAGATCATATTTCCCTCTGGCAGAGCCCTCGTGAAATATGAATATTCTTGGGTGAACAAATCTTCATATCTCCCTCCGGCACGGGAAATAAATGTACAATATTACCTTTCTAATGTTTTTCTGTTGATTTTTTCAGATAATTTTGATTTTTTAACTGTCTAAACCATCGTGGAGCAACTTAATATTTGACAAAATTTTAATTGAATATTATTTGTGTACTTAACTTTCCATGTCTTATTTTCTCTAGAGTAAATATCCTGGTTTAACCAAGACGCTCAAAATTTATTGCCCAATTAAACTTCAACCAAATAAATATCTAATGTAGACAGTTTTTATTCTTTTGTAGTTTTGTTCAACAGAAGTGATCGTGACACTTCAACCAAATAAATATCTAATGTAGACAGTTTTTATTCTTTTGTAGTTTTGTTCAACAGAAGTGATCGTGACAACAATATATGACCATTTTGGATATTACGTGAAGAAGTATCTGAAACGTAAAGAATTTCTAGTGATCATTGTCTGCTTTGTATCATTTCTGTGTGGACTTCCTAATGTTACTCAGGTAATGAAGGATCTTTGATTCTTATTTGGGTAAAGATTGCTTTCATGCCAACAAAACCCTAATGTGGCTGGCTTGATTTTCTAGATTTTATCAAAACATGCATCCTACCTACGAAAATTTCAAGAAATTCATCAATGAAATATATATTTAGATATTCTAGTTACAAAATTATGTGTATAACCATAATTGTCAAGAAAATTACATCAATTGTGCATGATGTATGAATCTAGTATCTGTTCTAAAAATATCAGTGATGCAATTGTTTAAATAATATTTAAAATTGGAGTTATCTTCCTTTATACATAATTGTAGTTGAAACCTCAAATTCATTAGTGCTTAATACATTGCAATATTTTAATTTTGAATTTGAATTTGGAAATGTGAGCAGCTAAATGTCCAAAATGTATAATTTGGAAAAGTAGGTACAGCCTTATTTTTGCCAAATTGTGATGTTTAAAAAAATTCTGAGGTAGAAACAGGGCGGAGACAGTGTCTTACATCAGAACCTTTTCTCAGGATTGTCAAAAACTATCATGATATAGTGTGGCAATATTTGCATATGGCACATACATTTTATTGTTGATATATTTATTCGGGTGTATCAGGTTGAAAATGAATACATGTAAATAGTTGTATGTAGAAATTGTTAATGACATATGTTATCTGCAATTAAGCAGATTTTAATATATATACAATATTAGTACAGTGTAGGAAAATATCAAATTTATTTGATGAGCTTTAGAAATAGAGAAAAGTGAGGCTCGCCAAGCTTTTCTCCTATTTTGTAGTGAGTATAAATAAATTTTATATTTTACTACACTGTAGGAGTAATGTTATTATCCTGCATTTGAACATTGAGCTTAAACTTATAGGTTTTCCCATTTAAATAGTTGTTGAATGAAATCGACATGACTTACATGGGGACTGCCATGAGGACTCAAATTGAACTGTTGCGTGAACAGTAATTTAAACATAACCGTTTGCTTGCAACAAAAACAGGATATCAGGAGACTATAAATGTTTAGAATATGTTTATCGGTTCATGTTATCTGCCACCCTTTATTTGTATAGTAGAAAGGTAGATTGCAAGATAAATAAAAATAAGAAGATGTCGTATGATTGCCAAAGATGTGGTATGATTGCCAATGAGACAATTCTCCACCAGAGACCAAATGACATAGAAGTTAACAACTATAGGTCACCTTATGGCCTTCAACAAGGGACAATTTATTTTGTTTACTGATTTTGTGTTTTATTTCAGGGAGGTATCTTCTTCTTCTCATTGATAGACCATTATGCTTTAATATTGATTTTGTGTTTTATTACAGGGAGGTATCTATTTCTTCTCATTGATAGACCATTATGCTGCAGCAGTATCGTTGATGTATCTGGCTTTCTTTGAGGTTATAGCTATAACTTGGTTCTATGGTAAGTATACAGACTTTTTAGCTTCTCTGGTAACAGATTAAGTGTGCTTGGCTCAAGTGTTTGAGGTCATTAGTTCTATCACTGGCTGGGTCAAATCGCAGACTTAAATTATATATTTACTATTAGAATGTATTTTTGATTGAAAAAAGTGTTCTGAGACCAGAGAATTTATTTTGTTTGGCTTAACTTCTTATCTACCACAGGTACCTTACAGTTCACTACTACACACTGCTGATTAGTTAGCTACTGCAGCTGAATTGTAGGTTAACTACCAGAGATAATTTGCAGTGAGAGAATTTTTCACAAATTGTTAAGGCTGTGTTATGAGTACTCTAATTAAATGTTTAAATAATCAGTATTTATTGTATGTTAATTGAAAAATGAAACAAATACCAAATCAATTACTTTCTTTTCATTATCAAGTTTGAAAGCTGCTGTTAACGGACGTAAAAAAGTTTTCAAATTATTTGTTCATGTTTGGCTTCTTCATCCTCGGAAGACTCGCAATCTTGTTCCGACAAGCTAAATTATCCCTTCCTATACTTCCAATTTTGCTTTCTAATTGCATAAATTCTTCAAATTCTTCACTTTCACTATATGATTTGAACAAAGAAGCCCATTCATCCGCCATTGTTTTAATCGCATTCCGAACACGTGTAAAATTCATGATAATTAAATGTAAACACACACTTTTTATAGAAAAGGAATGTACGAGATGAAAGATTATTCATTTGTAAAACCAAATTTCATTGATTCATTTCAGGATTCCCCAACAATTTTGTCCAATCTAAAGGGTTTTAAAAGTGTATATTTTACGGAAATATCCGTCACCGGGACTGCGCAAGTGTATGTTTACAGTGGATCTATCTGTCACTGCGAATACACGCTTGATTATGCAAGCGGATTTATCTGTCACTGCAGACAGAACGATGATAAAAACCGCGTTTATATCTGTCAGTGGTAGATAAAGAGTTGAGAAGTTATGATTAAAAAAAAAAAAAATGTCTAGTATCATATTGTAACTTTTCCTTTATACGAAACAATTCTTCAGAATCAGAGATAAACATGCATTTGATGAATGTTATAAATTGTACTTTTTAGGAGCTAGACGTCTTGCGAAAAATGTAGAAGAAATGAATGGCACACCTCCAAATATTTTCTTCATTGTTTGTTGGTACTTCATCTCACCTATTTTCATATTTGTAAGTATACCTACCACCTCTTAGTATAGCCTGCCTCAGAGTGTGGGATTTTCTCGCTGGGTTGAAGACACATTGATGGCCTTGGGCTGGTTTTGGGGTAAAGATTGCATGAATGCAATCAAAACAAAACCCTATAGTACTGACTTGATATCTACATCTTCCAAGGTTTATCACTACCATTGATAGTTCAAACAAAATAGTGCAGTGAAGTGATCATTATTTAGATCCTATCCAGTCAATGTCATGCAATTTATTGATGATGTGTTATACTTTGATATTTAAGTTACAATATGATGTGTATTTGAATTACTATACTAGTCAAGAAAATATTTTGTATAAAAAATTACATAAGTAATGCATGGTGTATGAATCTGTTGTAAGAATAAGTTATACTGCAAATGTACAATCATGAACAAAGGAAGATAACTCCAACTATTTTTTTTTAATTTTCAAATTTTTAATTTGCCTAGCAAAATACAATTCAATGTTTTATTTAAAAAATTTCAAAATAAGAGTGATCTTTACCCTTCAGTGCTCACAAGCACTTTAATTATATTTTTTGCTCATTTTTACAAATTATATATTTACAGGGTATATGGTTGTTCAGTATGATACAGTACAAACCATTCAAGTTGGATGGGTATGAGTATCCACCGTGGGCTGCTGCACTTGGATGGTCTCTAGCTATTCTTTCTATCATATGTGTGCCTGCTGGTATGGTGCACTCCATCTATTATGCTAAAGGAGACACCTTATTTGCGGTATGTCATGTTTAAAACAGAATAAAATTATACTGTACAACATTTTTTGGTTTGGGAAAAAGGGGGGGGGGGGGGGGGTTTCATGGGGGAAATAATTGCTGTTCAGAGTAAAGTGCACCCTTATTTCAACAACAGTAAATTTGTTCATTCATTTAAAGTTTTATCTTGATTTTCCTTCAAATTAAAACAAAAATTTGAAAGAAAAGATCATTAACAACAAATAACTTTGTATGGTTATTTAAATGTATTGAAATTCAAATGTTGCTGTGTAAACAATTTTGTAACATACCATACTCAATTATTTTTCTACTGGTTTATGTCACAAGAACATGCTACTCATTTGAGATGTAAACATCAACGGCGTCATAGGCAAAATAACGATTAACAGATCATCAATGGTCTTTCAAACTCGAGAATGGTTGTCTGTTACATCTCATCTCAGGGCTGTCACCTTTCGATGAGATTGTAGGTGAGAAACATCCTCTTGTTTGTAAAAACAATCAATTATCTATAAATACTATGTGTGTGTGTGTAATTTTTCAGCAAAGATTATTGCTTTTAGAGTTAAGTTTATTAGACAAATCCATTTGTCTATTGTTTAAGACTATATGTTGACTGCTACAGGTCTTTTGATTATTTGTTTTGTTGGGTTGATGGCTGATTGATTTTTATTCATACAAGAAACACATATCCAATGTTGAATTTTAACAAACAATTACTGTACTAGATATGCTTTTTCTGACTTGTTTCCATTATTTGCTTTTTACAGAAGTTTAAAAGTTCTTTGAAATCTACCTTACCAGATGATAACCAAGGACAGTACCCACCGCTCCATGCAAACGGAGATGTTCCCGTACAGAATGGTGTTACTGACAAGTACACATATAAGGGGGATGTAGATAGCATGGAGAAAAATGATATAAATACTCCTATGTGATTGTGCCGAGTTTTGTTTGACCTTATGGCTAAGGTCATGTGAACATTTTTACAGAGTTTAATTATATAGTAGAAATGTTTAAAAGAGAACTTACTTTAATTTATACATTATTGTAGACGAGAAAAGATTATGTGTATTTAGAAATCATTTGACAATGTTTTTTTATAAATTTTATTCTAATTAGAAAATTTAAAACAACTAACTTTTACATTACTGTAAATTCAGAAATTATTGTGAGGTTTTTATTAATGCGAATAATGCGACTACTTGAGTATCGCAATAATAAGAACTCGCATTCTTATGTCAAATGCATATATTTGTATGTAGCTTTTCATAAAATCGTAATAATCATACTCGCATTTTTGTTCATTATTTAAAAATTGCAATAATAAATGGACGCAATTATCTCTGAATTTACAGTATACATTTTTGTAGACAAGAAAAAAAATAATTTTCTAGATGTTTTCCTGTGGAGCAGGCGAGTTTCTGAACTGTCCCCAAATGATTTTACAATTTACATAATCAGACAGAAGGGTAGAATTTGTCAATGTGTATTTATATTGTATTTTTGTATGTTTAAGTGCATTTATTTCCTTATCATGCTATGTAGTAAATTCCACACAAGATTTCTGTAATAAATTTTTGTCTATCAACATAATCACGTAGTCTTTTATTTTCTATGGAACCAATTTTTGTGTTTTTCACTTTAAATTTTTAACCTGTTTTCTATTTTTCGAAACAGACTTCAATTTTTAGAAACAGATTACAATGAGACTTTGTATTTTTTAGGTTTAATCTTAAATTAGATGATTAAGGTTCATTGGTTGCTTCAAACCGTTTGTAATTTTTAAGAAGGCCAGTAAACCTATTGGTCACTGCTGGTCAGTAGTATTTTGTAATTTAATTTAATCATACCTATCCTGTTTATTTAAGGAATGACTGTAATATTTTTTCTGTCTATGAAGAAATAACCTAAAAAATGTGGTGCACACTGAATAACCCGTGTAGCAGGTTATTTTAAAGTGTGCACCACATTTTTGAATAAACAGAAAAAATATTACAGTTATTATAATTTAATACTAAATTCTATTTTTAAGCTTTAAATGATGAAAAAAAAGTTGATGACATCATGGTCACATGACAAAATTATGCCTTTGAGCTGATAGACAAAAAACTTTCAGCCAATCAGAAGACGTGTTACATCCAAAATTAAATTATTAAGAAACAAAAGTGAACAGATACATGTAGATTTCATGTTTAGCTAGTTATTGTTTACTTGCTATTGTATGTATAACTATCTAACAGTTTGGAAGAAATTAATGAATTGAGAATTAAAACACAAATATGTCAAATTAAGAAAGATACTTGTTATTCAATTTACCAAATTTTGTATTAGTATGTGCTAGTTTTTTAAAAATTCTTGGTATTAACTAAATATTTTTTATGCCCCACCCACGATAGTAGAGGGGCATTATTTTTTCGGTCTGTGCGTCCGTTCGTTCGTCCATTAGTCCGTCTGTACCGCTTAAGGTTAAAGTTTTTGGTCAAGGTAGTTTTTGATGAAGTTAAAGTCCAATCAACTTGCAACTTAGTACACATGTTCCCTATGATATGATCTTTCTAATATTAATACCAAATTAGAGTTTTAACCCCAATTTCACGTTCCACTGAACATAGAAAATAATAGTGCGAGTGGGGCATCCGTGTACTATGGACACATTCTTGTTTCTTTCCGAGTTGTCTCCCTTTATATATGGAATACCAATGCTTTCCTTTCAATTTTTAACTTAAAAGAATTTATTAAGAACTGAAAATTAATGTTTTTATACACATTATAACATTCATTGAAAATTTGCCAAAGTTTTCAGCATTAGCGGTTTCTACAAGACAGCCCTTTCTTTTGCAATTTCCTTATAAAATGTATTTTATGGCAGATTTACTTTCAGTAAACATTCTGTTAGTGGCAATTTTAGCCTTTTGAAGCATATATTTTCTATGTATATATTGTTTATTAATTAAAATAATTTATTCATTATTGTTTACCAAATTTTTACATGCATTTTTCTGATTTTTCATTTGTTACAACTGTAAATTATAAACCTTATTCAAACCATCCAAACTTTTTTTCTCAAAGGTTTTTAAGCTGTTCCTGACAATGTTTTGATATGGACACTCTAATTATATAGAAATTGAGATTATTATAATGTTATGCTATAATATTATAAATATGTATTTAGATCTGTATTGTAATATTCTTCAAAGCATAATGTTGTGTATTGGTTTTTTTTTTTACATATTATTTCTTGTTTGTATCTAAACAGAAGATTCTCTCTGTCAATTCTTCTATTTTTTTTTTTTTGTAAACTTATTGAGTAGTAATAATTTATACATGATTTTTTAGGGTGAAAAATACCCTTTTCGAAGAAACTGATATCGAGTCATAAGTTTTCTTACATGATCATATCAAGTCATAAATGTTATTTCCTACATGGCTATATCAAGTCATGTTATTTCCTACATGGTGATATCAAGTCAAATGTTTTTTCCTACATGATCATATCAAGTCATAAATATTATTCCCTAAATGGTGATATCAAGTCAAATGTTACTTTCTACAGGATCATATCAAGTCATAAATGATATTTCCTAAATAGTGATATCAAGTCGTAAATATTTCCTATATGATTATATCAAGTCATTAATACCATTTCCTACATGATATTATCAAGTCAATGTTATTTCCTACATTGTGATATCAAGTCATAAATGTTATTTCCTACATTGTAATATCAAGTCATCCATGTTATTTCCTACATTGTGATATCAAGTCATAAATGTCTTGAATTAGCATGTTAAAAATCAGGCACAGCTTGTTGTCTAGTATACAAAGCAGGCTTCATATTTATATCAAATTAACATATTCTCATCCTGACATGCATCATGTAGTATTTGCCACTGAGTGTTAAACAACAACCCATCAATTCATCCAAGGATTTTAGATTTCTAAATAAATGGGTTGCAGCAACAAAATACCATCACCAAGCAGAAAGATGCCAAAAATGTTTTGTAAATTACAGGGGGAAATATTGATCTTTTTTTGTTGTCATACATTGTACTAAGTATAGATTAGCCTCTGAAATTTAATAATGTGATCCGGGGGTTTGATTTACCTTCATTTTATAAATAGCCATATATATGTCTGCTTATTTACAAATTTATTTACATTGTTATAATTTAAAAGGGAAATTATTTGAATGTTCATCTATTTTTGGTTAAACAGTATGATTAGACCTTACATTTCAACAAACTTGATGTATTTAGTAGGAATACTTCCGTTTGAAGGTTAGCTGTTCATCCTACTAGAAAAAAACATTGAAGGAACAACTTTCTCATTTAAGGGTTTTTTTACATTGTCAAAAAAAACGTATTTGTCATCTTTTCTTTTTTACAAATTTATTGTTTTAGTATCAGATTATCATTTTGATATATGATTAATTCATTGCACAAATATCAATTATTATGCATTTGATAATTGGAAATTTGAAGTCAAATAACCAGATTGACTCTCCAAAAGAATGTAAAACTTTGGCAGCTTATGTGTAAATTGATAGACCACCTTATTTTAGAAACTATCGTAATAAATGTATAAATGATAAAAGTGTCTGTTGTCATTTTGTTTTTAGATCAGTTTGAACAGAAGCTTCTTTTGAGTTGTGAAATGGCCAAAATCTCTCTGATATTGGCATGGCTATATGAACAAGAGGCTCACCTGAGCCTGTATCACTCACCTGGTGAAAAATTGCTGGATGGTAATGAGGACCTTTAATTACACACTCCTGTTGTATTTTTTGTTGTATCATTTTTGAAATTTCCACTTTTATCCCAGCTCCAATAGTTTTTACCTACAGCTTGATAATGTTGAGTTGTAGTGTGTAAGCAATTTTAAGATCTACCATTCAGCTACCTTCTGTTTCCTTTTAGTTTGAAATTTCAATCAATTTGTACTCAGCGATTGTATTGGTCTTGTTGAGATAAGAGCCAAAATCAACCTTAAGATTCAACATTTCAGGGGCAACAACTCCAAAACAGGTGGTCAGGTATTCTGAAATTTTTCGAGTAGATAGTTCTTGTCATGCTGATCATTTTTGTATCTCAAACTTTTATCCTATATCCTATAGTTTCAAAAATAACAGCAAAAAGCTGCTTACATTTTTCAGTAACTCCAGAACAGGTAGACAGATTGTTCTGAAATTTTCACAGTAGATATATGTGCTGATCATTTTAACCTATGATATTCAAGATAACTACCAAAAGCTGCAAAAGTCAGTCAAAATAGATATTTCAGGGGCAATAACTGCAAAACAGTGTGTTGTATTATTCTCCAATTTTCCAGGTAGTAATTTTGTCGTGCTGTTCATTTTTGTCGAAAAAGCGAGACATAGCGATCCTACATTCTGTCAGCGGCGGCGGCGTCCACAAATATTCACTCTGTGGTTAAAGTTTTTGAAATTTTAATAATTTTCTTAAACTATCCTGGATTTCTACCAAACTTGGACAGAAGCTTGTTTATGATCATAAGATTATATTCAAAAGTAAATTTTGTAAAAAAAAAATTCCATTTTTTACGTATTTTACTTATAAGTGGACTAAGTTTTTCTGCCAGGAAACATTACATTCACTCTGTGGTTAAAGTTTTTGAAATTTTAATAACTTTCTTAAACTATCCTGGATTTCTACAAAACTTGGAAAGAAGCTTGTTTATGATCATAAGATAGTATCTAGAAGTAAATTTTGTAAAAAAAAAATTCCATATTTTCCGTATTTTACTTATAAATGGACTTAGTTTTTCTGCCAGTTAACATTACATTCACTCTGTGGTTAAAGTTTTTAAAATTTTAACAACTTTCTTAAACTATCCTGGATTTGTACCACACTTGGATAGAAGCTTGTTTATGATCAAAAGCTAGTATCTAGAAGGAAATTTTGATCAAATTTTGTTCCATTTTTTCTGTATTTTACTTATAAATGGACTTAGTTTTTCTTCCAGTCAACATTACATACATTCTGCAGTTTAAGTTTTTAAACATTTGGTCCAAGGACACAGTTATCGTCCTTTGGTTTTCGTTGTCTACAAATATAGTCCCTAGTGTGAACAGTGTATAACTTGCATTTTTTTTGATACATTTTCCCAATTTATTTCTTGATATTTTATGCATGAAATATTAAGTAAGGGGATGAAATTACATGTTAAAAAAATTTGGGTGCTGAATCTTTATGTTAAGTGGTGATTTGGTCCAGTTAAAAAAGGTCAAAAATTAGAATGTCGGAAGCTGTCAAACTGAATTTTAGCCCCCCTTAACACAGAATTGTCAATATTTTGAGTTAGAGCTGGTAGAAGTTTCTATAATTTTGATATTATTTGTATCAATAGTAGTACACTACACTGTAAAAATCTTTTTGAGATAGAGCAGGTGCGATTTTTTTAATTTGAATTTATTGTCTAAAAGAAATGCACTACGAAATAACTGTGTTCTCGGGCCTAAGAGATGAATTCTGTAAATGTAGATTCTGTACTTTGGCAACTTTCCTGAATGGTTTTCTGGTTTCAATTTGTCAAACTCAATAAAAGTAAAGGATTTACATCTTTGTTTGACAGAAATTCTGTTAAAATGTCCCATTTTGGCATTATACGGCTAAAATAAGCATTTTAAAGCAGTTTCCATTTTATGCCTAAGAGCCATGCTGACTTTCTATCTGACAGCTTTTTATGTTCCTGATATTTGTGTTTCTATGCTTAAATCAAATTTAATTAACCATTTGTGAACTCGAAATCTAGAGAAAAGTAGATTATCACAGAAAAAATGTGCAGAATATTTGTATTTATGTCCCTGGTTAAACGGCCTGTTTGATGTATGTGAAATGTGAAGAGCTTTGTACATAAAATCTGTAGTCCGTCACAAATATTTCACTAAATCTGTAAAAAAAACACTTTACAATGATCAGTACACCCTATTCATTTCATATGCTACCATAATTTTCTTCTTTAGGATAGTAAGTGGTTCAAATATATGCCAAATGAGACTAAAACTACATGCAAGTTTTCCATTGAAAAGTGAAAAACTGGTCATCAGACCATACTGTCTGCAAAAAAAAGTTGAATTCAAGAGTCCTTTTGCAATTAGACTTCTTGTATCATGACATTTTAGCATAGAAATAAGCAAAAAGTAACAAATTTCACTTCCTTATAGCCTCTGTGTGCATTTTTATATGTAAATATGGGCTACGGCCTAAATCGACTCTAAATAATTCTCAGTCTTACATGTCCTAAGACCATTTCATACTCATGTAGTATGCTTTTTGTAACTTTTCTTTACATTTAAAGTACATTTAATATATATGGAAGAATAATGTATGGTTAAAAACCTTCAAAAACTTCAAATTGGTTGAAAAAAATGCATGTTTATGTAAGGCTTCCCTTAATTAGAAAATCTCTATTTTCAGGCACAGGCTCATATAAATTTGACTTTTGAATAACTGTAATAAATCTGATAAATCAAATGAGTCTTCCGTTGCTTTTAATACTTATTATATTAAATTCAAGAGTATTTAAAAAGCAAATTTTTGCAATATTTAAATTTTTTAGGCCAAAATCTTGACAGTTAAAAATATTTGATTTAAACGTCAAAAATAAACATCCAAATTTCAATATTAAAATGGCCCTAGTTTCTATAATATATATCCTATGTCCATGAAACTTGGCCAACTATCTTAAAATTGCCTAAGCTTAGGTCATGCAAAGTTTTATTAAATTGGTCAAGTCTTTCTATCCTATTAGGTCCAAGGACACAGTTATCGTCCTTTGGTTTTCGTTGTCTACAAATATAGTCCCTAGTGTGAACAGTGTATAACTTGCATTTTTTTTTGATACATTTTCCCAATTTATTTCTTGATATTTTATGCATGAAATATTAAGTAAGGGGATGAAATTACATGTTAAAAAAATTTGGGTGCTGAATCTTTATGTTAAGTAGTGATTTGGTCCAGTTAAAAAAGGTCAAAAATTAGAATGTCGGAAGCTGTCAAACTGAATTTTAGCCCCCCTTAACACAGAATTGTCAATATTTTGAGTTAGAGCTGGTAGAAGTTTCTATAATTTTGATATTATTTGTATCAATAGTAGTACACTACACTGTAAAAATCTTTTTGAGATAGAGCAGGTGCGATTTTTTTAATTTGAATTTATTGTCTAAAAGAAATGCACTACGAAATAACTGTGTTCTCGGGCCATTTATTAGATTCATAAATTATCCTGGATTTTTACCAAACTTGGACAGAAGCTACTTACAATCAAAAGATAGTATAGAGAGGAATATTTTTATTAATTTTTTTCCTCATTTTTGTTGAGCCTGCGATTAACACCAAAAGTAGGCGAGACACTGGGTTCCGCGGAACCCTTACGAATTTTTGCAATTTACAGTTTTAACCTAGCTATGGTTTTAAAAGCAACAGCCATAAAACGTTATACTGGTAAAACCTACACTTCAGGAACAACAACTCGATATTAAATCTTCTGGGTAGATAGAACTTGCCATTTTTGTCTTGCCTGCAAAGAAAGTCTCAGTATGCAAGACAGGTATTACAATCTAGCGTAAACTATTTATTTAAAGCTTTATTTTTCAGAAGGTAGAAGACCTAGATTGTGTCATACCTTGTGTGCAGAGTGTCATATGTCCATTGTCCTTGACCTCATTTTCATGGTTTTGTGATTCAATTTTTTATGCCCCTGCCGTAGCGGAGGGGGCATTAAGTTTTACCCTTGTCAGTCTACGTACGTATGTACGTCCCAAAATTGGTTTCAGTTCTCTTAACTTTAGTTTGCCTCAACCAAATGTTATGAAACTTATAGACAATGCTTATTACCACAAAACACAAATCAAGTTTGAATTTTGGTAGCTTCACTTTTACTGTTCTAGAGTTATGCCCCTTTACAAATGGAAAAATTGCTGAAATATTCGTTTCTGTTCCCTAACTTTAGTTTGCCTCAACCAAATGTTATGAAACTTATACACAATGTTAATTATCACAAAACACAGATCAAGTTCGAATTTTGGAGGCGTCACTTTTACCGTTCTAGAGTTATGCTCCTTTACAATTGATAAATTGCGGAATTTTTCATTTCCGTTCTCTAACTCAAGTCTGCCTCAACCAAATGTTATGGAACTTATAAACAATGCTTATTACCACAAAACTCAGATCAAGTACAAATTTGGGTAGGGTCACTTTTACAGTTCTTGAGTTATGTCCCTTCATAACTTTATGGACACATTCCCCATTTATTCTTTATTCATTTTAGTAAAGCTGAAGAAGAGTTGACTTTTTTATACGACAGCAAAATTTTTGCATTTGTATTATGTTATGGCGATGTCTGCGTCTTTGTCTGAAGACATTTTGGTTTTCAGACAATAACTTGAGTGTAAGTGTATGGATCTCTATGAAATTGTAGCACAAGGTTCCCTACCACAAAAGGAAGGATTGGATTGATTTTGGGGGTTATTGTCCTAGCTGTTAAGGATTTAGGGCCCAAAACAAGCATTTTTCTTGTTTCAGGACAATAACTTGTGTATAAGTGTATGGATCTCTATGAAATTTTACCACAAG